TGTATTAAATATGTTTGAAAATATATGGGAAGTTGGAATTATTGGCAAGGAACTAACTAGTTATAAAAGTCAATCACTCGTTTTTCTTCCACAAAATGTCATTTTTCTACCAAAAGTTGCAGAATTAATAAAATCCATTAATAATGAGAATTCAAGTCATAGTTAGTCAAAGAAATACTCCGCTGGACAGTAAAAGCATTCAAAGCAACAAAAAGCTAGCAGCATAGCAGTACATCCTTCAACAAATTATAGTAGATATAAATGTATTATTGTACAGTAGAGAAATAATTCAAGGTAAAGCAGAAGTTAGAACGTGAAAATCCTAAAATTCTTCATCAATGGCTATTTTCCTTAATGGAATGTTGAGTACTCCTTAAAACACAGTTGTTCTACAATACTTAGGTGTCCATTCGTGATGAGGAATTTGAGCAGTGCAATCAAACTTCAAGGCACTGTATTGTTAAACGATGCTCTGATAAATATTTCATTAACTCAAACTCTGTAGAATTCAAAAACTCCTTAACATTACTCAATACTACATCTAGTTCCGTCCAATATTCAGATTCAATATTTTCGAAGTCTAGAAGCTTATCCTCCATATGTATGCTTCTAACAATACTCGGATTTTTCTTGTCCACTTCAGAAGGAGAGAGTGAATATTATAAAAATGAAGCTCTCCTTCAAAGGAATTAGCTTCTTTTAGAAAATCAGTCTTTTATTACATAAAATATTCTAAGTTGATGTTGTCAATTAAATAAACTAATTGTTGAATCTCAAGAAGATTAGATAAACTAAGGCCACAAGTAGGCATATCCTGGAAGAAGTTACAAATTCACATACAAACTAACAAGTGATATCTTTATTCTTAGACTGGAAAAAAATGTGTTATCAGTACTTTGAGAGAAGTGGACTATTAGAAATTAATAGAAGGTAAAAATGTTATCTAGATTGTGTACATATCTAAAGCATTTAGCCCTATGAATAACAACTACTAAAATAGTTGTGGGAATGCAATTATCAAGGGGTAAAAAAAGACTCTAGCATTTAACAAATTTGAAACAAATTGCTTCCTTGGGATAAACTATAATGCAAGATACTTACAAGATACCACCCTCCTCCATTGCCTTTCCTGAGGCAGCCCCAATGATTTTTATGTCCTTATCTCGTTCATTTAAACTAATAATTATATCTCCAGCTACTAAATCATTAATGTTCAAAACTGCCAAATGAAAAAGTTGAACAGTGGATTGGGAAAAATAAAGAATTATTCCAATTCTAGCTGCACTTCCACTGCTAAAAAAAGGATGTTTGGAACTGTCCTGAACAAGATTCAATACATATGCCTAGAGATGTGAACAAAAACTTCAAAGCATTTACCATAGTACACTCAGCAACTTAACTATAGGAGAGAATATCAAAGTCTTAATTCTTATGCTGGTGAAAACAGTTATAACTAAAGAGTAACTTAGTGAAAAACATCAATGGTAATTTGACATGATTTTCTTTTATCATTTACACTTTGAGACATAATGTTTACAAAAGCATAAAATTAATCTGTCCATGTAAGATTTTTTATGTATATCATGACTCATGAGATTAGTAAAACTCAAGGCTGTGCATAAAGGAAAAAGAAGGGGAAATAAAGTTAAGTTACAGTTATGTAAAAATTTAAGGAAAAATGAACAATGCACTAATTTCCATTAGTTTAATACTAAACAAAGTGAAAGAGAATATTCGGAATTAAATCCTCAAATGAAATGAAATTGAAAATCCAAAACTGAATTTGGTGACTAATAAATCCAAACAGCATTTTGAATTCGACTGAAATTTAAAGGGCACTTCTTGAAAACAATGGCAATACAAATAACCTTTTTTTCCTTGTTAAAATAGAAGTACATTTTTTCGTGATGGATGGTCAATGAAGTTTGTAAGAAAGTCATCAATTTTAATGATTTGTGTAACTACATAATTTACTTATAACTAATGGGGAAGGAAGAAAATAAATAGAGAAGAAAGAGAAAAAGAAAGGAAGCCCTTCTATTGAGACTTGCAGTTCAAAAATAGCTAATTTGTTCTAAAATTTTGTTAATTGCAATATTTAGCTTACAGAGGCATTTGGCTCAGAAGTGTTGAACCTCCGTGATGCCTCCATAATAACGGAGGCTCAAGCATAACAGAGGCTCAAGCAAATGCCTCCATAATAATGGAGGCTTACTTTTTCTCCATTTTTACACGCTACAACCATACTTCTCTATTTTTCCACACTATCTATTTCACTATTTTCTCACGCTATCAACCATGTATCTTTAGAAAATTTATTTTTAAGCACATAAGTGAATTTAAATAAAAACATTATTTTTATATATGTACGTAAAAGGTATATAGTAACCATTTGGATGACCAAAAAATAATATCAATCAAAATGTTTACGAACCGTTTAAATAATAATTTATTGAGGGGGTTAATTCAAGAGCAAAAGTGTGAATTCCATAAATATATGATTGAAAATATATTTGAAGAAAAATAAATTTTAATAAATGAAGACCAAACATGTTAACAAATGAATATATTTATTTTTCGAGAAATGGAATTTTATTACTATTTCATTTTTATCATGAAATGATTCTAATCTTAATATGTTAGATTGTACTTCAAAATTATATAATCTATCAAATATAATTCTTATAAAATAATATGTTTTTATGATTTTTTTAATATTTATTTATTTATTTATTTTTTTGAGAAGGTGAAATGTAATAGTACTAAAAAATAGAAAATAATTAAATTCTTATTAATTTTATAAAGTAATATGTTATGGAGGCTCATTCCATAATGCCTCCGTTATTATGGAGGCTCAAGCATGAGCTTTACGGAGGCAGCAACGTGCCTCCGTAATTACAGAGGCTCAACACTTTTGAGCCAAATGCCTCCGTAATTACGGAAGTACAATTTTTTTTCCACTGGCTCTCAGTACAATAATTTAATTTTATTTAATTAACTTAATTTTTTTAATAGACGTGATTCCTAAAATAAATACATAAAATATAGATCAATTTTTTTTTATATATATACAGAGATCAAAATTAACGTTACGTCATTGAATGAAGGTTTTCTGGAATTTTTTTGAATCCCAGATCCAAAAAAACCAATGAAATTTCTATGACACAATTGAATTTCTAAAATCTTCATGACGACTAAGTAATTTCATGCTTCAATACAATATCCAATTTATTGCTTCTGACACCAAAGAAATTTCGATAAACTGTGCATCAACTACTTAAAGAGTAACAACAAATCATTTATAATAGACAAATCTACAATTAATATTCTTCCGAAATATTAATTATAATGTTATGCTACTTCAGAAGTAACAACAACATAATGCATTATCTGGAATATCAAGTTAAAATATTAATTACCATAAATGCATTGGAAGAAGAAAAAACTTCATACACATGAATTTCAAACAATTATCAAAATTAATGAAGTTAGAAAGTAGAATTCCTTATAGAAATTAAAGGTAGAATAGTAACAAAGTAATGATTGCTTGAATTTCTTGGTCACCATGAATGTCTATCCTAAAAATTTATGAAAAAATAGAAAGAACTCAAGAGATAATCTTATTACTAATGTGAAAAATTCCCCATGTTTTTATCTTTTGCCTCAACCTGTACAAATAAAATAAAATAAACTCAGCAATCAAACAGTTGCATCCCAAGTCAACTATCTAGTATCATAACCATTAAATAAATTGGAAACAAGATATAGAAAAACAAATTCGAAGGAGAAAACTATGCATCAACCGCTTACAATCATCCCTTTGCATCTTCCAAAACATATGCGAGTTAAAGTACACATAGAATACACACATAATCTAGTTAAAAATTATATTTGATAAATTATATAATTTTGAAGCACAATCTAACATATTAAGATTAGAATCATTTCATGATAAAAATGAAATGGTAATAAAAACTCATTTCTTGAAAAATAAATATATTCATTTGTTAACATGTTTGATTTTCATTTTTTAAAATTTATCTTTCTTCAAACATATTTTCAATCATATATTTATAGAATTCACACTTTTACTCTTGAATTAACCTCTCAATAAATTATTATTTAAATGGTTCGTAAATATTTTGATTGATATTATTTTTTGGTCAACCAAATGGCTACTATATGCCTTTTACGTACATATATAAAAATAATATTTTTATTTAAACTTACTTATGTGTTCAAAAACAAACTTTATAAAGATACATGGTTGATAGCGTGAAAAAATGGTGAAAGAGATAGTGTGGAGAAATAGAAAGGCATCGCTGTAGCGTGTAAAAATGGAGAAAGAGTAAAGAGGGCTCTATGACATAATCCTCCACGCCGCGTAAGGAAAAGCAACAAAGTCACTGTATCAAACACGTAAGATAAACGACATCATTTCTTTCTCTCAATACCCAAAAAAACAAAAAAGCTACAGTGAGACACTATGAAAAAATCTACTGTTCTCTTTATAGTAGTGAAACATTGGCCTTTTTATATAGTAGTGATATCCTTGTGTATAAAAGCATTGAGTACGGTGTACACGTTACTCAAACAACTGTATTGTGTTCGTAATCAATTTTTAATACTCTACTTTCAAAATCAATATGTATGATATTCACGGTCGATATTAATGCATGGAAATCACTGGCTGCCTATTCTTACCAATGGACAACAGATACAAGAGACAAAATTTAACAATAACAGCGTCAATAGATCTTCTCTAAATTCCGTAGAATACTTAATATCTGTTTCTAGGTAGAATAATCAATACTAACTTTATAGTCAAACAATCTATTTCTCTAGAATACTTTAGTATCCTATATTAGGTAGAGAAATAATCAGCATCAACATTATTATTGTCAAATAGTCTTGGTCAAGTTCTGTGAAATACCAATTAACCTGATCAGATCTTTGTCACGAAATGTGTGAATAAAAGTAGTTTAAACAATTATAAACAATTTATAAACATTAGCCAAACATGGGCTAAGCAACATGGCAATCGAGATACTTCCATAATGCTTACAGAGAAAGATATCCCATGAAAGGAAAAATTATAGGACAACAACCGAGACAAACGTATCATAAATGCTAATGTACAATATAAACTCCAATGGAACAAGAGAAAAATTATCCATGGTTTCGTAGATGGCAGACAGGTTTTGTCAACCCGGGGTACGACCTAATTACGAAGAGTTCTTTTGTTATTGTTACCTAGATTATTGTACATTATCTTAAAGTACAATGTTAAGCTATCTGATGAACTTCAATAATCACTAGTATTAATGTAGGTGAAGAAGACAAAGTGGATGCGAAAAACTGTATTCCCTTACTAGATGCAGATTAAACGAGTCCAAAGAAATTTTCCAAGGATGTAGTAGTGAAAATGTTGGATGCCGAACCTTCGGGATTGATAGCAGAGATGTGAAGCTGATATTTGATGAATCTCTGTGAAAATTATGATGCTTTCAGAAGATTATTGATGTAAAAAAAGCTTGCAAAATGAAGATATCAAAGGAAAGAAAAAAAATCACAAAGGCTAAAAGGTATACTAAGTAATCCCTAACAAATTTCAGTATCTCAGTGTAACAGTAAATATTCATTAGTGCAATACAGATGCTATTGCAAACAAGTTTTAAACACAAGTTTGTACTAACAAATCACGGCATTTGTTCAGTAGTTGGATACTCGTATTATTTACTGGAGACTACATAAAAAAATATGTTTATCATGCAAACACACACTCCTTGGGTATCTCTTTCAAATATTCAAGAACTAACCGGAATAAAGATGCATTTTATTATATATAAAAGGATATTGCAAAGAAAGTTGATATTTACCGCTAACTGAGTGACAATTTCAGGATTCGTGTCTATATGCCAATCTGGTTCTAGTTGTCTTACGAAAGATGTCCGCCCATTCTCTGTCCCACAGAAGAGAACCTGCAGGTCAATTAATCAGCAATTCTGAGGATCATCTTTGAGTGAATTTATCATAATTTCCTGAAAATTGAGCTTAATTTGAACTTAAATTGTGAAAATCTAGCATGTTTGATACGGATTAAAATCTAAATTTTAACTTAAATCAAAGTCAACAATTAATTTTTAACCACATATTTATGGGTCCCACAACTTTTAAACCACACATTTCATCAACTTCTATCAAAATATACTAAAAATCTGATTTTAATCACAATCAAACAGGAGCAAGATTTCTGATAAAGAAGGTCGTGGGAAGTGAAGAAAAATATTATGTACTTTATATGAAAGAACATTCGATTTTGAATTCAATTTTGACTAGCCAAAATGAATAGTTGAACCTAATATATGACCAAAGCAATGTTACTTGTGCCAGCGTGGCATGCTCTGCTAGAGTCGAGCATACCTGATGACAAAATTGGCAACAAGCATACCAATGGAGTAAAGTAGATATGTTTTATAATCAAAATGATGACATCTTATTATTCCATTCTTATCAGGAAATTGGTAAATGAAGTAATTCTCATTTACAGGAGTGACACTGATTTAAAAAAATTCAAGCAGGCATATCAAAAAAAGTCACGTAAAAAGTAAATATTCATAGATTATCGAGTATATGTACTACACAGTCAGTCAAGAATTTTGTACAGTAATCACCTTGTCTTTAACTAAGCCACCAGATGTAAAAACTCCAGCATCTTCCAATGCTACGAGAACTTTCTTCTGCACAAATATATACAACTCATTAGCGATACTGAAACAACTGCCAAAGTACAGCATGATATTAATTACATCAACCACATAGTAGAGTTTCTGGGTTGAAAAAATAGAAACACGCAAATGATTGTTTAATAGATGTATGTAGAAATCTTTGAAAAGGAAGAAGCCTTTTTTGCATGCAAAGTGAGCTTCATCCTGATCCATCCCAAGTTTATGTTTAATGACAAAAGCAAGCTTCAGGCATCAAAAATCTTCAATGCAGCACAATAGGTGAACTACCCTATTCCTTAAACATATGACAAATTATGAAAGAAATAAATGTTCTCTGTCCTAATCTAGAAGTTCAACTGAAGATAGCAATTAGCAATAAGAATTCCGAACGGGCTTGCCAAAAAGATCGCAAAATTTCTAAATCCCCCATGTATATTTTCTTTTTCATGTACTTTATGTTGTCTAGAGCACTTCATGACTCCATAAATACAAGGAAACTGAAATATATGCTGAAACAGGCTTACAGGCTTCCTTAAACGTCCAATGGGCACACAAGAGCAGAGAGAGAGAGAGATTTATTGGCAAATAATCATAACAGGAGAAGTAGAAAATTAGGCTGAAGCCAGAAATAATATCATATAAAAAACAACAGACGCAGTTCATGCAACAAAAAAGAGAACTGACATATTTGCTGGCAAATTTATTTCTAAATGGCATAAAAGTAAAATAAGAAGGAAAAAATGCTTAACAGAATAATTGAATATAAACTAGTTAGTGCTTTACTTCGCTTTCATCATCCAGCACCCTTTCCATGAGATAAAGATCACAACATTTTGTGATCTCAAGCAGCACCTCTAGCACTGATGGTCTTACAGTTGCTTGCTTCTGCCACAAAAATTAAAACTGACATCAAACCAAATGATTTCAAAAATGATGATTTTATAAGCCCAAGCAAAACCGGTAAAACCTGCAGCTCCTCTGGGCTGCTTTCCTCAAGGATTACACCAAGCAACTGGCATGTAACCTGTGCCATGGAAGTTGAAAATTTTACAAAACTTAATTCTGATATGGATGATGCTCAAAACATTAATGAACTACAAAAACAAAATTGCATTTATGGTTAGATACTTAGATATCTAAGATCAACATATACGTCTCAATGAGCTTAACTCAGAAAATTCCCCAAAATTACTTCAGTATCTACCAATAGAATAGAAATTTCGTCAAAGCTATCTCTATTAAAGTTGAACACCATATTATGACTAAAGAAAATGATAGAAGTTCCACAGCAGCAGATCATTCAAATGGAAACAGGAGTATGAACTAAGATTGGAAGAATATAACTGTCATCCTGAATTTATAGGAAAAAGTATAAGCAATAGACATATATTGTGTCTACACTAATGCTATGTACGATGATGGAGTTTTTTTAGACTCCCATGTATCTGTATTGAGAAAAAGGCTCTATCTGCGGAGAAAAGTAAGAGTTCAAGTTACAGTGCACATTTTACTCAGATTTTTCAGAAGACGAAAAAAAGTAGTTTGAGAAAGATGAGGCCAAATAATGATCTAATATTCCCAGCACTTTTTAGATTAATTTTGAATTACTTAAAAAATTAATACTTGAAAAATAATACAAAATTAAATCATAAACTTGGCTCTTTTAGAGTTTGTCTCAGCATATAGAAAGTGCAAGTCACCTCGTGTTTTCCATTAACAATAATGGTCACCACTCAAGAATTAATATGATCATAGACAATAGATTATTTACATGATAAAATATGTGTCACAGGCACTAAAGCTATTGTAGTGTGAAGTCTTTTCTACAAGCTCATCTGCTTTACGCAGCCATCAGGAACTGGAATAACACTTCACGTCCAACTTGCATGTATTAAGGACGCTGCCATTATTTCAACTGGGCAAGGATTGAACTCTCCAAAATGGGGTAGTTACAATCCCATACGTTGAATTAATGGACAGAAGGAAAATCAAGCTTTGTGAATAAACACTTGTATTCGACCCACCCATTGAAAATTATATCACAGCAAAAGAAAAAACCTTATAAAACCAAATAATAGCTGACTTTCCTCTTCCCTTTGCAGTATATGCAGAAGACAGGTGCCCACACCTAATAGTGCCCAGTGATCGCTATACAATATGGTAAGCAATGTAACTCCAGGAGTCTCCCACTTCAATAATTACTAATTCTGCATGCTCAAATATATCCCACCTAAACTAAAACAGGGAGCCATCCAATAGTCCAAAAGACGTGTCAACTCACACACAAATAAAATACAGAAATCCATTAAAATATCCAACTTCATCCGATTTTGGACCGTAAATGGACCACATATCCAGATAACTGGCAGAATGTTCTTTGGCTTCCAATATAACGTAATAAAGTTGGTTACCAGGATATCATAACTGCAACGTAATCAACAAAATACGGCCTCCACTCTATTCAGCTCATGCATGACAGATAAACCATAAATTGGATTCAGCACTGTTGTAGTTAAATAATGAGGTGCCCATGTTCCGCTTCCCATAACATCAAAGCACTTCTTTCATTTGAAAATATAGATAAAAATTTTCATTCTTTCTAACCACTGAATCTTTTTGATGATGTAGCTCAATGTATAACGAAATAGGCAAAAGGTCCTTAGTGAAAGTCTTATTGCTACCATTTACAAAAACCCACATCTCAGCCTTTGATTGGAAAATGAATCCAGTCTATACGTGATGGGACGTGTTATTTCTCCTATATCTAATAGTTTAAGCTTTTTGACGAGGCAATAAACAGTTTTACTAGATATGCCTAAGAGACTTTAAAAAGTAAAGTCTACATCATTCGAAAATGCCTCATAGCAAAACCCAGGTACAACTGCAATCTCATTACATGATTCATGAATATCATCAGTGTATTTTTAAAATACTGGCCATAACTTGCAGTCCAAAGCCTGATTCAGTTTGATTTCCTTCAAACGTAAATCTCTAAAACTAGTGTGCATTCCTTTCGACCATAATTTCCAATTTCTGTGTCTCCGCCAAATACATTTTTAAAGTGTATTTAAGGATTTCCCTAATGACTGATTGATTTATATCTGACTCAATGCCAATGCCAGATTTCCTCCTCTGCAAGCCTTGCACCTCTAGGACAAGGATAGCCACTACGTTTAAATCTTACAAAAATACATCCCTGCCTTCTAGTAAAGTTTTTTAACCCTCGCCACAGGATCTTGGACAGAATTTAGTGATGCAAGACGAATTAAAAAATAGAAAGAAGAAGCAAGAAAGAGGGGAGAACTGGAGAGAATGGGAGCGAGAAACCGGAGAAGAAGCAGAAATTCATGGGGGAGAGGGAGAGGAAGGAGAAGCCATAGGCAACAAATCACCAAAATATTTTTAAATTTATCAAAACTAATGAAATTACATCGCAATTAGGTTTAAATAGTAAAGACTAAAACCCTAAATAGAATGGACTTGGGCCAACACAAACCCAATTACATAAATAAAATCTAAAACATAAATAAAGTCCAACTAAAAATAAATAAAAAGTAGATGTCCTCATCAACTCTCCTGGGGTGGGAGAAAAACTCGACCCTGTCGAGTTGATAGATAGTATAGGCTGTAGTCAATCTGATACTCCAAATGCGTCAAGTCAAGTCACGGGGACGATCTTTCTGACAAACCAAATAACGAAATTCCATGATTGATAATACTAAAAACTGTAGCTTATTCCCAAGAATATGATCTGACCAAGGGGGCGATCTTTCCTTCTAACCAAGTACTGATACTGGACTCCAAATAACCAATACTCATGCACCTCATCTTCAAGATTTTCTCATGATCGTATATAATGAGGAGCATAAGAAGCACATTGATCTATCCAACAAACAAGGAAGTACTGAATCTTGCCATCATTAGTCAATACAACACGTTCATCTAAAATAACATCAATTTTATCTTTGTGTACTGTGATAAATCATATTGAAGTAGAAATATCAACATAGTCAAGTTGGGGGTCCATAAAGTTAAGTAGAAATAGATCATCAAACGAAGTAACACGGTGTTTGTGAGTAATGAAGTCCTCAATATTTAAAGCAGAGTGGTAGCCAAAATGTGATGAAAGGGCAATGACGTGCATTTGGACCAACATGCTTTAGAATTTTTAAAGGACCATCACTACAAGCTTGCAATATAACATAATCCCCAATATTAAATTCAAAATATCGTTTATGCGAATCAGCTTGAAGTTTATATAATGCATTACTTGCTTCAAATTATTTATTGACCTCAATATGCAAGTTATGAAAATGTGATACAGCTACCTCAACTGACATAAACACATTAGCATGTGAGTACATGGGAATAAGGTCTAAAGGTTCCCTAGGTTCACAACCAAGAATAGCTTCAAAGGGATTTAGACCTAAAGACCAGTTCACAGGATTGTTATATGTAATTTGAACAATTCAGGGAATCAAGCCCCAATTCCCAATATTTTTCTCGACTACAGACTTGAATAAATTACCAGGACTTTGGTTAACGACTTCATTTTGACCATCAACCTGGGGTTGGTCTACAGTGGAGAATTTCGATTTAGTGCTAACCATAGGCAACTAGGTTCTATAAAAGTGACTAGGGAAATCATGGGATACAGAATCTGGAGTCCCAAGAAGAGCTTGTATGCAACCTAAGGAGGTGTCCTCACTATCATCATCAAAATCTTCAAATTTAGGGTCATATGCTAGATCTTCTAACGACTCTTCTATTACATTCTTTCGTTTTTCTATGACTAAGGCTCGGTTAGGACATTTAGAAGAGTTGTGGCCAAAGTCCTTACAGCTGATGCATAACAAGTGAGAAGTCCTTAGAGTTTCAAAAATTAGACCCTTATTTTCCAAAATTGGAGGAATATTAGAGGGGAGAGGTCCTAGAAGGGACTTAACAGGAGGAAGTGGAGCCAATGAAATCGAAGGATGATTGTCATTACGCTTTCTACATGAAGAAGACGACCTTGGGCTATCACGACCTTTACACTTGTTTTTCCAAAGGGAACGAACACTAGATTGGGAAGGTTCTATGATAGACTTATTATGAGACGACGCTAATGAGATGGGTGAACGATGGTGATCTCGCTTTTCATATGCTGTACTAATAAGTAACTCGTAGTCCCGAGCTGAAGAGTAAGCTTGATTAAGAGTAGTGAAGCCTCGAAAGAAAAGCTCACGCGTAAGTTCATCTCGTAGACCTTGTATAAACCTACTTAAAGTCAGGGCCTCATCTTCAATGACATGACATTTCACTCGAAATTCCTCAAATTGAGCAATGTACTCAGTTACTAGCCAATTCTCTTGTGTAAGGGGGTTCCATTGGGTAAAAATTTCATGATCTAAGCAACCATCGAGAGTAGGAGTATCTAAGTCAATGTCTCTAAAGAAACGCTCCTTACAACGAGGAAGAGAATGAGTACCATGATGACCATGGCCTTGTTCTCGCTCACGAACCTGATCCCTCTTCCTAGGATCGCATCGAAAATATTCTTGATCACTTTGTCCACGATGATATTGTCTATTATGATACGCTTCAGAATTAATGTCAGTCAAACGAGGGGCTCGCTTAAAATTGCTCAACTTAGCAGCTAGGTTCTTTCTTTCTTCACGAGTAGCAGTTATATCTGATTGGACAGTCGATAGGCTAGTGGCAAATTACGCTAATTGTCTAGTGAGTGCATCAAATTGGGATAGATCCATGGTCAATGTATTGGAAATAGAGATGACAAGACGACCACTACGCAACTACATGCAATGTAATACCAACTAAATGACGTGTTATGATGAGATCAGTGAACAATACGTGCAAGCAATGGAGAATAACTTGTACCATTTTTTTATTTAATTTTAAATATTGGGATTAATTAAATCCAAAACAAGCTAATACTGCTGTTACATGTAAAATGACAAAGCAAGGGTCAACACACTAGTCAAATTCTCCAATCAATTTAAGTGAGGAACAATAGAAGTCAATTCGGTCACTGGTGTCAATTCGATTAATGATTTTGATCAAGTGGGGTTTAAGGCTAAAATTATCACGATAACAGCAACACAAGATTTTAATTGATGCAATTTTACAAATGAAGCAGTAGTATAAACCAATACTAAACAGAGATCAAGGACTCCCTGTTGTTTAGTTTTGATTATTTGTATGCCGATTGATCTGAATTGCCGACTTATGAGCCCCAACTATGCTTTTGTTCTTCCTTTCGTGTCCAATGGTTTTAGCCCCTGTTGACGTGTTGACGTAAAACTGTGTGTAGTGACTATGACTTTTAGATTGTTGAGATGGACGAGGAAATATATGAGTGTGGTAATTGTGGTGGAAGTGTATGATCTTGGGTTGGGCTAAATGGTCTTGAATGCTAGGGTTTGGGATTTGTGGAACTCTACGACAATTTTATTTTATTTTTATTTATGAGCAAAAAAAAAAACGAGATTTTTTTTTTGCATGAACAGTAATTTTTTTTATTTTAAGAAATTGACCAAAATACTAAACTGAAATTCTGGGTGAACAGTACCCGCGATGAACAGTAACTCCCTTTTTTTTTTTTGGAACAACTATGAAGAAGCTGGAAAAATAATAACTTGGCTGCTCACGCTAAAAGTTTATTTTTTTGTGCTGTTCCACAAGTTCTTGGTAAAGAAATAGAAAGAGATTTTAGATTGGAGATGAGAGATTATCCAAGTTTAGGCTCTAATACCAACATGAATTTCTGCTTCTTCTTCGGTGTCTTCCCCCCACTCTCTCCGGTTCTCCCCTCTTTCTTGCTTCTTCTTTCTATTTTTTAATTTGTCCTGCATCATTTAATATTTTGGTGGTTTGTTGCCTATGACTTCTCCTTCCTCTCCCTCCCCCTCTCCCCCATGAATTTCTACTTCTTCTCCGGTTTCTCCTCCCCATTCTCTTCGGTTCTCCCCTCTTTCTTGATTCTTCTTTCTATTTTTTAATTCGTCCTATATCATTTAAGCACCCAAAACATGCTCTGTTACCGAAGAAAGGTTCATTATCTACCCGGAGAAAAGGACAGAGAATCTATAAATATCATATCATACAGATCATTTATGGGAAGCATTTGTTTTACAAAGTGCATGTTTGGGATAGCTGATAAAGTTGCTAAAAAGTTTACCAGCTTACACAATAGATTCCTATCATGCTTCACAGGATGACATCTATCTTACATGCACCATGCATTAAGAGGGCACATGTATATGGGTTTATCTTTCTAGGGTATGATCATTTGTTCATCCATGTCTTGTTCTGAGAAGAAACCCAGGATTACCAATTACCAAAATTCAGTATGGTACTCATGAAAAATGGATAAGTACATAAGAAAATTACCTTCCTCCCTCGATTCAACCTTTTTCTAACTATTTTACCTAGAGTTGGCTGCAAACACAAAGAATGAACTTAATCAAAACATGAACCATTTGAAGCACCGGAAATACTGCAGAGAGGAGGAAAAATACCTTCGCAGGCTGAAAGAGCTCCTTAACTGCATTCTGAGTGCTTGAATATTCTGAAGAAGTGCTAACCTTGGAACATGTTACATCTGCAGTTGTGCAAGTACTAGAACCAGAGCTAGTGGCCCCAGCCGAACTTTTATGTTGCCTTCTTTGAGTCCCACTAGGTAGTGTCAATAGTCTCCAAGTAAAAAAAACTGCTAATGCTAACCCAGCAATAGCTCCAATAGATCTCGAATCCTGAAAATAGCTCAAAATATTAAAAGATCTCTCCCTGGGAAAGTAACCGTTATATTTATGATGCCCAGCACACAAAATTTACAACTATCAAACATATCTAACAAGGTTTACTTGTACTCGACCATAAAAGAAAGATAAACTGAGACAAACACGGAGACAATACGTCATTTATCTATAGACCACTAACACACATACCATTTTCGAAAAAGCACATCAAACACAAAATATAACCAAAGTGCAATTTGGTCATCAATTTTTGAAGGAAATACAACAAATTTATAACCAAAACGACAACTTTCAACCCTAGAAAATAGAAACTCGAGCACTCATTGTTATTCTTCAAGCCAATGCTTCTGATTACACATAAAACGCCAAATGTTAACTCAACATTAAAGCGAAACCCTACTATAGGTCTTCAAAATTGTGAATAAATAGTGTAAAAGATCAACAAATAACATATAAAAGATCTTCCATAACACTTTGCCAAAATAAAAAATTCAACCAAAATAATAATAATAATAATAATAACAACAGAGAGAAAATAAAACCAGGTCCCGCAAGAGATTGGAAATCTTGACAGTGATAAAAGCCCCAACTCGCTTAATCAGATTCAGAAACTCTTCCTTGGAATTATCAGCCATGGCCCTTCTCGGAATTCTTCAAAATTATAATTTATGTGGACCCACTAAATATAAAGACAACAGTGCTTATCTAACGGGATACAAATTTATGATTTGGGAAGGAGAATTTGAAGTTCTGAGCTTTTACAACAGCTCACACCAGAGATTTAAGGTCTTCAATAATACAGATACGGTGGTATGAATTGAATGTCCTCCGGTTTTATTTCCGGTCCCCATCAAATAATATTGAACTTCTAGTTTTGTACCAATAATGTCACTGTCTATTACTTTTTATCGACAAAGTCTAACGAACTCGATGATGATGTGGCCAATGGATAGGGATGAAGCAACTGAAATAAAACAGGAGAACGCTTTTATAGAAAAAAATAAATCATCCTACGAAGACTGCCCAAATTTACTGTTACTGTGAAAAAATAATAATAATAACAAAGAAAAAATTTGCCAAGGAAAATTGGATGGCGAAAATTAACAATTTCTCCAGATTGAGAATGGGCTAGACGAAAGAATTCTATTTCCTCTTCACTGCTTTGACCAAATTGTGTTATTTACAAACTCTAATATCAACCAATTACGTTTTATTGCGACTTTTGGAAAGGATAAAAAGATAAGGTCATTCTTCTTCATAATAAAAAATAAGAATTAAATTAAATGAGACAGTATATGAGAATTTTTTAAGTTCTTCCTGGCTCCTGAAAATTCCCAACAAGGCAGGGATGGATGACAAAGATCGATTCCCAATAATTTCTCTCTTTGTCATGTCTATAATGTCCCACCATAACAAAATCTAATTTCAAGGATCAAGATGAATTAATAGTTCATCCCATGAACATTAGACATTTCTCAAGAGTTGTCCTTGTTTGGTTCTTATTATTTTCAAAATACATTTTTTTCTCTGTTTTTACTATGACACATTCTTCAATAAAATAATTTTTTTCTTATTTTCTAACAACACATTCTTTATGAATCTATCATTCCAAAATATATTCTTAGCCAAATAAAAAATCACGAGGCTCAAACAGACACCTAATTCACAGCAAGTTTATATAAAATTGTACGATGAACACATATACTTGGAGAGCAAATAATATCATGCACGTGTTAGCACAGTTGTCAACATCATAAATTTGACTTAGGTCGATTAAGGTATCTAGGAGAATAGATTAATGATCATACAATTTAACTAAATATGAATAATTAAAATTATCTAATATATTACACTTGATAAATTTCATGAACCCTATACAATCCTACAAATTTACAATATTCCACTAGACCTAGATCGTCTTATCACTTATATATCATAAAATCATATGATTATACGGCCTGAATCAAGATTTTAACAACACTAAATGTTAGGAACATATAATAACTCTAAAAAGAAATGACATGCCTAGTTATACACCATGAACATATTTTTAACACTAATTCAAGTATTTCTGATTCCCAAATAACTCAAAAATATTGTGTTCCAATAATGACTTTAGTGCTTTATATCACATGACTGATGCTGTAATCACATCGAGAGATTCACAAAATTATTCTTCATTCTTGACTCCTCCCAGGGTTTAGGCACAATGAGGATTTCAATGACAGGATCTACTTTTAATGGAATTCTTCTCCCCAATACTTTTCGGCTAATATAAAATATTTATTTAATTTTGATTTAGTTTCTCATGTCTATGAAAATGAATCATTCAAATAAAATTTCTGTCCTTGTTTAAGTTGTCTTATTTAACAATGAAAATTATTCATTTTTCAAGAAAAAAAACTAAATAAATTTACTGGTCTCAGAAATCCAAGTTAAAATATGTCAATCTTAGAAAATAATTGGATTGAGAAAAAAATTAAAATATTATTATTATTATTATCGCACACAATATCGTCATATGTTATGTAGCATAAGAACATGAAATTCACAAACAACTGTTGATTAATCCATAGATGTTAGAAAATTAGACATCAAATACTCGTTAATTCATAAAGAATATAAAGTATTTGAACATATAATTGAAAATAGTCAAGTTTTCATTCGTTAATTCAAAAAGAATACCGAATATTTGAACACATAATTGAAAATACGCAATGTTTCATTTCATTAAATTCCACCTTTATAAAGACCGGATGGTCTTATTCATACAATGAAATAAAATCCTGTTTTATAGAGCAAAAATTACCATTTAATAAAGTTAAAAAATACCTTCGCATGTTCATCGACTTCTTTGTACTTTTGATAGAAAAAGATGTCAAGCCTTCATCCATACTTAGCTGGTTTATACTTTAAACCCTACTTTCCTTGTAACCCCTTGAAAGGAATCTCAAGAAAGCGAAAAATAAATAAGTAAAGACACAAAAAGCAAATAAAGTTACCTCCATTGACAAGAAAACTTTCCCAGCTTCACCCTAATCTCATCTCTTGCAAAATATTGTTTATTTAATGCTCTGCATTTCATGTACATAAGCACATTCTTATCCTCTGCACATTCCTTCACTCATTTCACATTCTAATTCCTCCCAAACAGTAGAGTTTGAAAAATGATGAAGATAGTAGGCATTTTTGCTTGTTTGTTAATTGTAGCTTTGGATGTAACTGCTGGAATTCTTGGGATCAAAGCCGAAGCGGCTCAAAACCAGGTTGACTTAAAAATCTTGTCGCTTTTATTTCATATAGAAATAGAACATGGGATTTATGTATACTTTCTGCGTTTTTCACAATAGGAAAAGCATTTGAGACTATTGATATTTGAGTGTAAAGAGCCAAGCCATCAGGCATTCGTCCTAGGCGTAGCTGCTGCTACTCTTCTGTGTATAGCTCACGTTCTTACAAATTTGCTTGGAGGGTGCAATCTCTGTACTCGAGGGGAGCTTTCAACAGCACCTCCTAGTAAGCAATTATCAATGGCATGCCTCCTCCTTACATGGTATGGACATAAGTTAACACAAGTATTACATATTGAAAATGTATGACTATTCACACACATGCAGTAGTAGTTCAATTCTACTTATAAGCTACATTGACGTGTGTAATAGTAGTGGATCAGACTAGTAGTAAATATGCATTTATAAAAAATGACACGAAGAAAAAAACTCGGCTTGCCCGACAAGGCCCTTTACGAGTCGTGCTGAGCCTAGATCAACAGGCAAAAACTTGGGACCATCTAAACCTCATAACATTCACGGCTCACTTTACATGTCTAAGTTGCTGGCTTCAGGCCGTGCATTACTATTGTATTCCTTGCATCTACAGGCTAGGAAAATCCAGAGCAAAGTTAAAGTTTAATGAACATATATACATTACTATATATGGAATAATAATATATGGATGCCCAGGATCATACTGGCAGTTGGCTTGGGGCTGCTGGTGATTGGAACAATATCAAACAACAAATCAAGAGCTTCCTGCGGTTTCACGCACCATCATTTCTTATCAATTGGAGGGATCTTGTGCTTTGTTCATGCCATATTTTCTGTTGCTTATTATGCAACCTCAAATGCCGTGCTTGGCGTGTAGGCAAAACAGAATCCATGGATGTCACACACTGCAGCTTAGCCTGTTGGAAGAATTTTGTGAATAGAGACGCCAAAAATAAGTATAAAGATAGGGACAAAGCCGAGGCAAGAGTTGGACTCTTTGTCCTTAAGTCGAATTTGCCCCGCAACGGTGCCTACGGATTTCGGCAATCGACTCCCAAGATACAACGGCTACACTTGTGTTTGTAGCACTCCAAAACACAAGTACAACGAACCAAATTTAGGTTTATGTACTCCAATGATGAAATGAAAGAAAATCAAAATAAATGAATGATTTTGATTTTGGATAGAAGAGAGGATGAGAGACGTTTTGCATATCAAACTGTGAGGAATAGGACACCCAAAGGGTCCTATTTATAGACCATGAAAGGGTGTGGACGAAATGGTTGGGGCCAAACCATGCACCCTTTCCAAACAATGCACCACCTTTATGAAAAGGTGCCTATTCACTGATTTTCGTTCTTTTTCGTAATTTCTCATTCATCCGATATTGGTTTTCGAAATGCCAAATATACCCTTCAATACATGCAGAGAAATCAAAATTCCCGTTTGTGCGCCCCGAAGCGGCGAAGTGGCAAACAATTTTGCTTAAACGGATTGAGTCGAGCTTTTGAGTATTTGGTCGAAGTCGATACGAAGTCACTTTAATCGATTTTCAATTCTCGATTTATTTAACCAATATCCAACATAGCCTTCTTTCCCAAATTCACTTTGTCTGATTTGCTCACTAAACTGATTTGATTTTCAACTTGTAACCACATAATCATTTTATATAATGTTTTTTTTGTAGGTTCGTTTTGTCATTCAATTGTACTCTGTTGCACTGGATTCTTAAAAAGTTGAACAAACTATTATATTGAACTCTTTCAAGAAAATTACAAATCAGAAATTACACCTTCCGAAACTTTACAAAACTACCACTGGACACCAAGAATAGTAATTTATTTAGGCTAAGATCCTTATACCCTTTTATATCATCAAAAGAGGCCCTAACTCGAACCATAACCCTCACAAGTATCCAACGTGGGGTTGCTTCCATGGACAGATTTTGGTCTCTCAACACAGATTTCGATCTCGCAAAGAAAAGAAAATCAACTCACAAAGAGGAGACGAACAGACGAAGAACAGGAACCCAAAAGGTTCTAAACAGCTGAAGGAGAAAGAGAGAATGAAAATCTTGCAAATTAGGATTAGAAAACTTGTATTTATAGTAAAACCAATCAACCGTTGATCTGCATCTTAATCCAACGGTCTAGAGTAATTCTCACACAATTGGGCTAAAAATCGGGTCGTGGTAAGTAGGGCATCTTAGATGATGTTATTAGGCAAGGTTATTTGTGTAGTATCTGGGCCGAAGGCCAATATCATCATTGCCTAAAATTGTTGGACCTAGACTAGCATCATAGCCCAACGATTCTCCACCTTGATGTCAGTGGTAATTCAAGAAGCTAGTTAATACATTCTACAAAATTTATTTGAAGAAAAAACACAAAAGCTTCCCAGTATTTCCGACAAGCACCAAGAATACAACCTGCAAACACCATAGAAATTACCCAGTATCAACATTCAACATTTGAAAACAAGTTTTAAACTTGTTTAAAGGCAATACCTTTATCCCCATGTCTACTGGATTAAATTCAGTAGCAATTTTCTCAAGGAACAAAATTTCTTTAGAGACAATATCTCTTATACAATGAAATTTTATATCAATGTGTTTTGTTCTTTCATAATATACTGGGTTTTTACACAGGTGTATGACACTCTGACTATCTAAATATAGTACAACAGGGCTGCTTAGTTCATTTATTTCAGAAAGTAAACATTTAAGTCATAAGGCTTCTTTGATTACCTCAGTTGCAGCCACATATTCTGCCTCATGGTAGAAGCTACAACTGGTTGGAGTTGTGACTTCCAACAAATGCAAGTTCCACATAAAGTAAACACTTAGGCAGTTGTAGATTTCCTGTTATCCCTATTTCCAACAAACTCAGAATCAACAAAACCCTTAAGTACAACGCCCTCTTTGCAAGCACTAAAAGCTAAGCCTAAGTGTGATGAACCTTTCAAATACCTCAATAACCATTTTAAAGCAACCCAATGTTTAGGTCAATGGTTAGCCATGAATCTGCTAAGTGTGCTAATCGCCAGGCGTAGTGCAAACCATGGTATACATGATTGATCCTACTGCATTAGCAGGGGATATCTTTTCCATTTGTTTAATCTCAGATCACTTACTGGACATTGGTCCTTAGTTAGTTTAAAATGGCTGGCTTAAGGGAGAGTAACAAATTTTGCATTATTCATAGCAAAATCTAACTAACATTTTCTCAGTATAACCTGTTTGTTTTGGGCTCAATATTCTATTACTCCTATTTCTGATTATTTCCATCCCTAAAATTCTTTTAGCATGGCCAAGGTCTTTCATTTCAAATTCTTTGCTCAAAGATCCTTTAATATTATTGACCACATGCAAGTTTTGCCCTATCAATAGCACATAATCAACATACAAGAGTATAAAAGCAATAATTTCAGTTTCTTCACCATACTTAAAGTAAAGACAATGATCAAATTTACTTCTTTTTAAACCAACAGTAGATACAAAGTTATCAAATCGTAAATACCATTGTATTGAAGATTGTTTTAAACCATACAAGGATCTTTTTAACAAACAAACACGTCCATGCTTAGATTCATCAACAAAACCATGTGATTGTTTCATATATATCACTTCATCAAGATCACCATGCAAGAAGACCGTTTTTACATCCATTTGTTTGAGTTCAAGATTATAACGTGTCACAAGAGCAAGTATAACTCTAATAGTAGTGTATTTAACTATCGGGGAGAAAATTTCATTATAATCTATGTCTTCTTTTTGCGTAAACCCCTTAGTTACAAATCTAACCTTAAATCTTATAGACATTTTCTCATCATTTCCCTCCTTAATAGTAAATATCCATTTATAGTCAACAATGGACTTACCAGTAAGTTTAGGAACTAAGTTCCAAGTCTTGTTTTTCATTAAGGAGTCTATTTCATCTTTCATAGCAGCCTTCCAGTTTACAAATTGCTGGCTGTTAATAGCCTCTTCATAAGATTTAGGTTCTTTAAAGACATTGAAACAAGCTGTATATAGAGGTTTTCTGTTGACATTGTTTGCCTCCACAAAGAAATGGAAAGACCTTGTTTTTAACATTTATATCATAAAATGTTATTCATTTATTTTTAGTAAGTTTTTCCTTTAAATGAGGAAGGGTTAATAAGATTCTTAGAGTACAGAGCGTCGTACCATAATTTTACTCGATTTCACTCAATCTTGACTAGGGTTGAGTTAGTTATTTTTGTAGAATCGACTCTAAATTTCAATCAAGTCGCCTACAAGTTGACACGGTTCGCTGCAGTAGATTGAAATTTGAGTCGATCGAAGGTTATAAGTATAATACAATTTCTTTGACTTAAAACAATATAAGTTTGTAATGTGGGCTAATCCAATTTCAAGTGGTTCACACCATGACAGCAATTCCATATTGGGCCATTGGCACATCACTAACATTCTAATCTGTGGCTCTAATCTGAGGAGCCACCAATTTTAAGCTGGGCCACTTATCTTGACTCCTTAATTGGAAGATTAGAAGAAGGCCAAACAAGATGATAACATCCTTTGGAAACTTCGGCTCCATCAACCTTTTGCCATCACATCCTTTTAAGTATACCTAGAAATTTCACGAGAAGATGTTGTTGGAAAAAAAATGGTTTAATGGGTCAACTTTGAGCTCAAATTTCAGTGGGACCCACCTTTTAAATAATACGGGACCTAGCATATTCACGTTCTACTCCGCGAGATGATTAACGTGATAAACTCTTCCCCTCCACAGAAAAAAAAAAAAAAGGAAAAAAAAAGTCAAGGAACTGAATATAAATAATTATATTTATATCATTATATGATTTGTAGTTTACGAAAGTCTGCCATGAATCAAAGAATATCTCCTCAGTTTTAAACCCTTATTGCAAGAACTCAGCTTTACTCCAAAAACTAAAGGAAGAGTGAAATCTCCTCCAATTGCTGTCTTCGGAACTATTTACTAGATTTATATCGAATGAACTAATCAACAATCGAACAAGACTAAATCTCGATAGAGTAAATTAACAAGGCTTTCAATGTTGTGGTGTCATTTCATAGTCTACAGCTAGAGTAAGGTGCTTCTTTCGCCGCTTATCAGTGGATTCTAGTACATTTTATGCCTTTGCTTCCGTAAATGGAGTCGATATTTGAATAATGAAAATATAGCCCCCGTTTGGCCCCATTATTTCAATTTTATAATTTTATTTTATTTTATTATTATTATTATTTTTTTGGAGAATGTACAATTGAAAAAGAATAAAAAAAATTTGATATATGTGTAAATATTATTTTATGAAAAATTGTGTGGTTGAAAATACGAAAGAGAAAATTATAATTTGAAATAATGAGGGTCAAATGGGGCATATATTGACAAAGATAAAATAAGGATGTAAAATATCTATCTGTCTATAAGCAAGCTCAAATTTCATTAGGAATGTGCCACTATTAACATGGCATTTTACAAGTACAAAATGGACCAAAGAGGAAAGGTAAAACAAAAATGTTATCAGAACAAGAGAAGACACAAGACCACACAACAACAAAGGAAGAAACAAACTCTACTGAGTGATCTATCAATCTGCATCATATGTCTTCTTAACCTAGGACTGCTACTACCCACTATACTATACGAGTTTGGATATGTATAAAGGGTTGTCTCTGAATTCCCAAAAATCCTTGCACAAACCATTTCACCAAACATCTTAATCATTGGATCAATCAAATTTGTTGCTGTCCCGCCATTGCCGAGCATGGACGAACCCATATAGTTGCCAGAGTAAGGGTAATACGGTTGAGACGATTGTAAATAACTTCGTTGATGAAGTTGGGGTGAATGACCCGAAGTTGCTGTCGGTATTAGTACGTCACCCCCAAATCTTGGACTGCGAGGCCTTTTTGGTACGAGTTTACCGACATCTGAAACCTCGTCGTTGGATGGATTTGTAGTTTGGCCACGGCCGTAGAGTGGGATTAAGGTTTTCTGTGACACCTCTTTTTTGCAGACAGGACATTGTGGATGCTGCTGATCCGGGTTTTCTAAAGGAAAAGTAATCCATCGATATATACACGGCCAGCAATAGAGGTGGCCGCAGAATGTGACCACAGGGTCTTTCACAAGGTCCAGACAGATGTTACATTCAAAATCACCAGAAGGAGACTCGTCGACCCATTTCGCCAAGGAGGATTTATCACTTTCTATTGCTGCCCCTTGGAAATACTGTTCTGTCGCCATATGGTGAGAATCCAGTCCAAACAATCTGTCATGAAAGAAGATAAAAAGTTCTTGTTAAATACAAGTTCCCAATCAATTGACTCCTTGAAAAACTCAGGATGAAAACAAAAACCATCGAAAGGATATATCAGGTCATTTCCAAACTTTCGTACGAGCGAGAATATAAGGGTACGAGCGAGAATATAAGGGTACGAGCTGCTATCAAAGTCTCAAGTGGACCATTTTACAGTAATAATAAAAACGTCTGCCCATAGTTTTTCTTCCTCCTTCCCTACACATTCTACTTGTATGTACAACGAAGAAATTAGAAGGGTAGGTGAGAAATCTGTTGATTAGGTTTTGCAAAAAAAGATCCATCAATTCCAGCATAATTTTACCCAGTATTTCCAACCTGCATCCCATCTACCATACCAAATAATTTTGTACACATTATCACGCAACCAATCAAAACTCAAATATCAATTGCAGTTATTATTAATTCATAATACCCCCCAAAATATACGTGGAATGGATACAAAACAAATATTTAGATTGTTAGTAACTTTTGATGTTCTACAATTCGTCGATTCTTTCTTTTCACACAGACACAGTATTAAGAAAACTTCAAACTTTCCCAACATAAAATCAAGAAACCTGAACAATGAAAATTACCCTATGTTAACTGATCCCTTCCTTCAAAAAGGAAAACATAATAAGAACACTTCACACACATCAAAACCCATTATGATTAAGTCAGTGAAATAATATCATATATCAGAAAGATGGAGAGTAATTCATACCAAACTACGAAGAGGGCCTTCTTGAAACGATACAAATGTGAGAAATGTAATGTAATGTCTTTGTTTCAATGTGAAAAGTGAGAAATTCAGCGTTTTTAATGCCAATAAAGAGCACAGCGTCGGGATGAAGCTGAAAATGCGTGGGTATGGACTAAAAAGGGATGAAGGGGTCCGTCTCTGCTTTTGCTCTTATATAAGCAACAGAAAGTGTAAGTAACGGCAAGGGCAATGCATACAATTACAAGGTCTGCATAATCTTCGTTGATGCTTCTGGATAAATACATGACGTAGTCCAAACGGCACGGGGAAGAACAATTTAGCCACTCTTTTTTTGACCCAAATTGGTAGTGTTTTCTTTTTGGGACTTTTCTTAGACTTAGTCTACTTATTTTGCTTAAAATTAAATTATTTTCCGTTAAAATTTTCATAAACATTATTCATTCAAAATATTTTATAAGTGTGACATAAATGTAAAACCCACCATTTGTTTTACCAGTATGGACACGTGACACTCATTTGTTATCGAACTAAAGGGTAAAATTGTCCCCAAAAAAAATTCTTTATTATATAACAATCCAAATGGCAACTTCAATTTCATTTAAAAATCCAAATAGGATAAAATTCATTAATATTGATGAACATGCCCATTTACTTCAAGTCATCACAACATCACGTGACTATCATGTGATTATTTAACGTCCAAATTAGCAACAATTTGAAACAAAATAATAAGTTTGGCAACTTTTAAGGAAAAAAAAAGTTGGATAACCAAATAAAAACAAGATCCAAAGTTGAGAAAAGAAAATAATAAGTTTGGTAACTTAAAAAAAAGGAGGGGTTGGACAACGAAATAAAAACAAAATCCAAAGTTGAGTCATTATTTGAGTTTTTTACCTCGATTTTTCACGAATTTTGTTCAAATATTTTTATTTTGAACAATTCTTATCAAATTAATAAAAAGAAAAAAAAATACTAAATACGAATTTGAACATCCCGCACGGGCACAATTGAGTCATCCATGCCCCCATTTGTCATCCATTAATTTTCATTCCATTCCATTTCATTTTTCTTTCTCATATTTTCAACTACACAATTTTCAATAAAATAATATTATACGTAAATCAAAAACTTTTTCTTCTTTTTCAACCACTATATTTTCAAAAAATACTATTTCACTCATTTTCATTTCTACAAACTAGGGGGGCAAACGGGGGCTTAAACTTATTTTTGCGAATAGTGTGTATTAAACTTTAATTTTGATAAAAATCAAATTTTTAATAAATTTTGATAGATATTGATTATTTGTGTAGTGAATAAAGGTTGCAGGGTCGGACCTGAGAAGAGGCCCAAGAGGCCTCCGCCTCAGACCCTACTCTTTAAAGGTCCAAAATTTTTTTTTTTTATTGTAAAATAAATATTTTGAATATTTCATTTTTACTCATTGCTTTACTATTCATTTTAAGTTAACAAATTTAGTTTCATAAAACTCTTATAAATGAAAAAATGAAAAAATGAATTGCTTGCTATGTTGGAAGCCCAAATTTTGAAATTGGCCTCAAGTCCCATATAGCTCTGGAAAATTGTGAGCCTATTTAAATATGTGTTTTAAAAAGAGTTTAAGAAAAATCTATTTTAAAAATAAAGGGCGAACCTGGGGTTATATGAGTATATTTACACCTGTTACCGTTTTAAATTACAAAAATCACAATAGAGTATAACTCTTAATTTTGTGCAATCTTATCAAGTAGTACAAACATCTTTATAATCTTCGGGAAATATAATTTTCATTTCTATACTTTAAATTAATTAGCCTCAATTTGTGAAAATGGGTTTCTTGAAGAATTCTTTTAGGAGACGGTCAATTCATACATGAACTATCATCACAAAAGAATCTCGTCGTCGTCTATGCTTCTCATAAAATCATTATTCAAATATGGCAAATATAAATTGGATTATAAGAATCTAAATGCATCTATCGACTATAAACTAATAAAAAGGAAGAAAAGCCACAAATAATTGTAAATCATGAAAAATAAGTAATTTGTTCTTACCATATAGAAAAAATAATAATAATAATAATAATATTTCATAAAGCATTTTGATATTCTAGACGCGAATTAAATAAGATAAATTTTTGAATAACACCAGAAGGTTCTTATACAAAGAGCCGTAGCCTTGTTTTCTATTGTTATAATACATGAAGAAAAAGAAGAAGATGAAACCACAGAGATGAAGCCTTCTAGAAAATGTCACGCCAATTGTTTATTTTTCTAATTTGTCGACTGCTATACCACATCACAATCTGTCTGTCTTATCTTGTCTTTCTTTCTCTTTTCTTTTTCATTTTTTAACTCAAATAATTTGTGCCATTTATCATCTATGTTTAAGAAAAATAATTGAGCTAAAAGAATAGTTTAAAATTATATTTAAATTTTACTTTGTCACTATTGCGCAATTCTAATTTAGATTAACTTAGGAAAATTCAAAGTTGATCTAAATAGAGCTTCTCGGCTTCATTTTTAATTACTCTTACTTATTAAGGCATTGTTTAGAAGGCTTGACATTTCTAGAAAATTTACAACTATTCCAAAAAACAAATTTTCACTTGAGAAAATCGAGTGAAAATTTGTTGTGTGAAGGCTTGGCATTTCTAGAGATGAAGAAAACATAGGATGAATTCGATCATGTCATAGGTGAAGCTTGAACATGTGTTGCAAAAGATGAAAGAGAGAGATGACAAATTCATAGTAAAATACAAGTACAAAAACCTAAAAATCATAGTGGAAAGGTTCACCACCCTCCTCTGGTAGCCATCCCTCATAGTTTCTATTATAGGAGAATTAAGTCGAGTTGACCGAAAATTGTTAATAGAAGTCTTGACATCCTCTTCCATGTGTGTGGGATCCACATGAATAAAAAATTCCAAAAATAGTGACCTCTACCCCCTATTGTGAGTGTTCGATCGGGGAAGCTGTCAACCCCTCTCTATCAATGTAGCAAAGTTGATTATAGAATTGACAAAAAGAAAAAAAGAAAAAAAAAAGAAAGAAGGAGAACACCATAGTCTACTAGTATATCCTAAGCATTTGATTCTAACATTATGTAGAACTATCAAAAAAATTTCAACTTCTTGATATAGATCTAGAAAAAAATGAACGATTTTGTTTTTGTAGTTCTAAGATGAGATTTCATGTTAAAAAATACTGATTCATATTCGAAAAATGTTGTTTACTAGCGTTCATCTAAACAAATTATGCCATTGTTTGAGCCCTATTTTGGGGGAATAATGTATTTTGAATAGTAAATTAATGGATAATGTGTAGTTAAAAATTAAAGAAAAATTTTAGATTTACGTGTAATATTATTTTATTAAAAAATATGTGGTTAAAAATGAGTTTTGAAAAAAATAAATTTTTAAAAGAATGAAACTCAAACAAAGGCTATATAAAAGAATAATGTTATTTAGTATCATTAATACTACAATAACAATTTTAGGTGACACAAACTAATAAACCCAACTAAACGTAGATTGTGTGACCTATAATTATATTCTTTACTTAATAAAATTTATATTAAGCCCCTGTTTGATCCCCATTAAATTCAATTTACATTATATTTCATTTTTCTCTCTCCTATTTTCAACCACACAGTCTTCCATAAAATAATATTACATGTAAATCGAAAATTTTTCTTTCTTTTTCAACCACTCATTTTTCTAAAAAATACTATTTTTCTCGTTTTCATTTTTAGGTAATGAGGGTCAAATGGGGCTAAATAACAGTGACGTTAAATAACATTATTTTATATAGAAACAAACAAGACAGCTTAAAACAAAGTAAAGTTGATGTTTACTTCGACCCTAAAACGTTGTTTTACTAAGCTTACAAAGTACTTGAAAGAATATTTTTCTGAGAAGTATCGCGATGTTTAGTCAAACATGCGACAATTGTGCACAACCTTAAAAGAATATTTCTGAATCCTGGCAATTAGATTGGTCTTGGGTAACGGACCAATTATTGGGGATCTCTTTTCTGCAACGGAAAAAAAACGGAGCTGGGTTGCAAAAATAATAATTTTGTCCCTTCCATGAACTACAAAGACAAAGTATGGAGTAATTTTTCAGGAAAAAAAGTACAATCTTTTTATTAATCTATTTCATTGAAATTCAAGCGCATTGAATTTCACAATATTTTGAACAGGGCGATCTAGGAAAAATTTTAAGACGAAATAATACACAAAAGATAATAATAATAATAATAAATAAAACCTCATATAATTTTATTTTATTTATTATTATTATGATTATTATTTTTTGAATTATAAGTTGGACTGGGGGATGGGTCATAGCATAAACCCACCAGTGAGTATGAAGATCTCTGCCACTACAGGTTACAACATAAAGCACGTAAATTCTTGGATGGGTCGATCCATAAGCCTAGAAATCAACCTACTATATGATAAGTGGCATGTCACCTGTTTTGAGAACGGGAAGGACGAATTACGACTATTATATAATAATAATTATACAAAAAAAAAGAGTGCCAAAAAGTGGAGATGGCCGAGTTGGTCTAAGGCGCCAGATTAAGGTTCTGGTCCGAAAGGGCGTGGGTTCAAATCCCACTCTCCACATTTTCCTTAATTTTTACTTTCTGGGCTTTACTTGGATCATTCGAACTAAAATGGGCCTACTCTGGGCCGATTCCGAACCAAAAACGTTGTCCCCGTCAAAATTTACAGAGACACATCCATAAACTTACCTTTTTGAATCTACTTATTTAATATAGAAAATTAATATCATATATTTGCATGGAAAGTTTCCACGATTAAATTTCTCTCTTTAACATCATAGTTTTCCTTCTTTGAAGTAGCAGAAACCCTATATATATTCATGAAACTGATTACCTGTATTTAATTTTAGTCTCTCTCTCTTTCTCTCTCTCTCTCTCTCTCTCTACAAGGTTTTTTCAGCTTTTTCCCATACGCTCTGTATTTTTATTTTTATTTTTAATTGTTACTTCTGTATTAATCCTGTTTATGCATGTAAATCTGCAGGTTATTTTCGGAACAATTCATACACTGACCATTACACAAAAGCAAAACAAGAAAAAAAGGGAGTAGAAAATATAATTATTGCAGGTGAGTATATATTTCTTGTTCATGACAACTCGAATCAATGTGTATTTTGAAAATAGAGAAATTTATGGGTTATTTTTTGAGTCACGATTTGTATAAGTTCTGTTTTCTGGTTCCTTTGAGTATGCGTTTCTAGTATGACTACTTTAATATGTTAATTATTATCAAATCGTATCAATTTTTTTGTCACATTAGCCTTTTCCAAGGCTAATGTGACAAAAAAATTTATAAAAGTTTTAACAGATTTTAGTAAAAGTTGATTAAACGAGTTGAAAAAAGTCTGTGGATCCCATTAATTGTATGATTTAAAATAGAAGTTTGACTAGTTGAAAAGTTTATAAATATTTAGCTCAGTTTTATCGGACAAGCACTTCTTGTTGCTTTTGTGTATCAATTTGAAGTTGTTTAATTTGAATTTCATTGACATTGAATTGATGGCAGCTTTGATTGATGGCGAAGACAAAACACACTATTATATTGAGAAGTTTGACCTCTCTTTCACTTTTGATAGCAGCCATTGTCATGTTGGTAAGCTATCAGAAGGTTCACATAATGCCCACAGGCACCAAGTTTATTGCAAGATACAGTGATTGGGAGATTTTCACGTAAGTGATTTTCATACATCATTAATCTTCTCAAAATTATCGTGTTTCGAACTTCCTAATTCCATTTTTTTTCTCGGGGGCTTGATACAGGATGTCTATGATTGTTTACTTCATCGGAAGCATTTACAACTTTTCCGTCCTTTTTCTTTGTGTGGGGAGTATGCTATGGCGCCCCATCATAGTCGTAGACATGGTATAATTCTCTCTTATGTTTAGTGCTAAGCCCCTGTTTGGTTCCCATTCTTTCCTCATTAAAATAAAAAATATGATCGTTATCCATCACATCAAACCACCAAATTTGAATTTTTATCTTTTGTGTGGGATCGGTAACGACTATATTTTTCATTCTCATTCTTTAAAAAATGAGAAACAAACGGGGGCTAAATATCAAACATATTGTAAATGTTTCTTGGGATTTACGTTTTTATACTGAATCTTTGAAAACAGATAATGATAATGATAATTGGTGGAAGCTTATCAGCAGCATGGCAAACATTTAGTCTCATAAAGAATGGAGCCCTTCATGTGGGATGGTATCCTATCTGCAAAATAGTCCCTCACTTCTGCAGCAGTATAATTGGATCATTAATTGTTGCTTCAATTGGACTGATTTTGCATCTGGTGCTGTTTCTTTGGTGTTTACACTATGTTCTTAATTTTCTTTTGTTGGAGTCTCCATGTTAAACCATGTTTGGCCTCGCTTAAAAACATGTATTTAAGTGCTCATTTAGGTTGTATGCTTTTAAGCTGGGAACCTTCCTTATTTTTGAAATATTGAAGCAGAGCAGCACTGATTTGTTGGAACAATTTACGAGTAATGCTACTCTTTGCTACCCAATTTAAAAGAAAGTATCAAGTGAATCACTACGATCATATTTGAATACAATCAAAATAAGTCAAATATTATTTTTTTATAAGCGACTTACTCATTTCAGTTGGTAACAAGAAAAATAGATTATTTCAGTTGGGATTTTGCATTCGAAATGGTAAACATTTTTAAATTTAGCCAAACATACACTAAACTTGGTAAGTCAAATAATTAGAACTTATAACTATTTAAAATTCTAAAATGAATAGCTGTAATTGAAATTCAATTTAAGATAATTACATCTTATCGTTCAAAAAAATAAATAAATAAAAATATTACATCTTACATTGAGAATATAATTTCTCGAAAAAAAATCACCTTTGATTCTCAACCTATTGCTCGAGGAGTAAGTTGGTTCTCTATTTTTGAAAAAGAACAAATTGGTCCTCAACATTTTATTATAGTTGTATAATCATTCGTAAATGAACGAATATAACTTAATATTTGTCTAACCGTTATGTATTCCGCTCATATCCAATTTTACGATATTAGATTTGTTGTTTCTCAACTTGCATTGATCACAAGAAATTGAAAATGAGGAATGTTTCCATGAAGGTCAAGTAATGGGAACAAATGGTGCAATTGCAACTAGATTGATGACGAGTGCATAGAATTGTAACTTGAAAAAATGAAAGGTTAGAGATACAAGATATGATATTTTGAACGTAACGATTGAATAAATACTTCTTTATTTGGTGGTAAAGATCTACTATTATTTTGCACATCTTTCGACATATTTGAGTTCAAGATGTAAGTATATTTTATCGAACTTCGACTTGATGATGATGCTTATCAGATTAATATTACACTTTTTACAAGGAAAAATAAGGATGGAAATGGCATGATAAAGTATTTATATCCAATATCAGAAAGGATGAAAATGAGTTGAGATCCAATCTGACAATATTTGTAACCAACATTCCACCTACATCGTCATTAAAAATAGTTTCTTTGAAAACTTCTTGTATTGGTAGCTATTAGGTATACTTTTTCTGATTCTCATTGGATTTGGTGGTCTCTCTTTCATTACCACCAAAATTTTTCCTTCTGTTCCCCCATTATTGTATATGATTTCCATTATAATAGGGACCCAATACACAAACACATAGAGGGTCACCACCTCACCCCCACCCACGGCCCCATCTTCTTCAGCGCAATCCACGAAGCCACATGATGCTGTTTCATATAGTAACTAAAATTTGAAGCCTCGTTGATGATTCTTGGACTTTGGCTGTCTTTGAAGTGATTTTGCTGTCATGCCCTTCGGAGAAGGGGATCTAAAGGTGCGTGTACCCAAAGAATTTTAGAAACTTAATAGATCCAAATCAATCAAAACCCATCTCGGAATAAATATTTTTTTAGCAGTATCATTTTTCATGGTTAAATCACCTTCAAGCAGAATGCAAGGAGGAAATGGGTTGTTCTATCCAATCATTGGTTTTGCATCCTGTTTTGCTTTTGTATACATGTCTTTTGGGGACCTATGGATCAGTTATGATGGAGAAACAACGCTGAGTTTTGTGGAGAGGAATGGAACTCATTTCATGGTGGATGGTAGACCTTTTTATTTTAATGGATGGAATTCTTACTGGATGATGGACCATGCTGTGGATGAATCCACCAGACCCAGAATCGGAGCAATGCTGCAAGCTGGTGCAAAAATGGGTCTCACCGTGTGTAGAACCTGGGCTTTCAGTGATGGTGGATACAATGCGCTCCAAATTTCCCCTGGTAGATTTGATGAAAAAGTATTCAGAGTAAGGGAATTCTCTTTTTTGCGGTCAAGTGTGTTCAAGATTTTCACCGTACTTTCTTTGGCATAAGTTAAGGGTTTCATTTTGTTTCTGACAAACTTCAATATATAATGGAATTTTAGGATGTTTATGATGGATTATTAACTTTATAATCCAATCTATTTCAGTTTTTAGCATAATCATTGCATTGGTCAAGTGTTTCTTTTTGTACTATAATCTTTTCCTTTTAAAGTGATTCAAGATTTTGACCTTTCTTTGGCATAATTAAGGGTTTCATTTTTTCTCAATAAAAACTTAAATATATTAAGGAATTTTATGATGGATCAGTGACTTGACAATCATTTAATAGCTGTTGGTTGTATTATTAACTGTTATGCTAATCTACATGGATTTGTTTTGGTGGGTTTATCTTTGTTTTAATGTATTCAACCGTTCTTGATTTTAACTCCTACATAGAAAGTTCGAGAATATATTGATCTCCCAAGAACGGGCTGATGTCATGATTGAGCGTTTGTATGTGTTTTCTCTTGATCAAGTGTGTAGTTTTTGGCTGATTATTAATAATGGCCAGCAATTGTTAAATCTGTTGGTCTATTTCTGTTTCGATTAACTGTCAATTGCATCAATTGAGTTAGATGGTCCATTCTGTGAACGTATACTCTAGTTTTCCTAATTAGGCACTTATAATTTGATGCTCATATGTACCATGGCAGGCTTTGGATTATGTGATTGCAGAAGCCAGGCAAAATGGAATAAGGCTAATACTGAGTTTAGTTAACAACTTGCAAGCATATGGTGGAAAGGCTCAGTACGTTAAGTGGGCATGGGAAGAGGGTGTTGGTTTAAGTTCTTCCAATGATTCATTCTTCTATGATCCGTCAATTCGGCATTATTTCAAAACTTATGTTAAGGTAATCTTATGATCATATCCCCACTTTTTGAGCAATCTTTAATCGATGGTTCTCTTGGGTGTGACATCAAGCATCAAATATTATATCTAAAATGCCGATCAAGATTTTATTTTTGTCTTGTTGGGCTATCTGCAAAAAAGTATGCTTCATATTCTGAAGTCTTCTAATTTTCTTTCCAAATATGGGAACTTGACGACTATATGTGTTTTATCGTAAGGCTTCAACTTTTTGGATATTTATGTTTGCCTATTTCTGTCAGCTTTTTACTTAACATTGGAGTTCTTATAGCTGTCAAGACAACTCTTGCATCATATAAGACAGCAGCAGTGTTAGATCATATGCTCTCTTTCTAATGCAATGTTTCTTATCTTGAAACATTTATGTGCATCCCATTCGAACAAGAGAAGACCAGAGATGGATCATGTGTCTTCTTGTGGCTGTATCTTCTTGTGGCACTGACAAATTCCTATGGCTGTTTCGCTAACACTTTGACCAAACTAATCCAACGTACATTTCTAGAAAATAGCTGTTTGGGCATATAAATCCATTGAATGCTTGGAAACTTATTTTCTCTTATTTGTTTCTTTTTACTTTTTTAAATCTCAAACTTAAGTAGTCCGTTTATTCCTCTGTGCATCAATAATACGAAGGACATGTCATAATCTTTGCCACATAAGGAAATGAGTTTAACCCTTGTTTAGCACCTATTTATAGTCGGTCAAACCAATTTTTATCCACATATTTTATAGGACCTATAAGTACTATCCACTTATCCACTACCAAATCTATCTATTTACAATTTAAACCGATTATAAATGACTCCCAAACATGTTTAAATTTGCTGAGTTCCTAATATAGTCCTTTTTAGATACTATTAAAATCAGACAGGCTTTTAGATAAGCAAGATGGAATAAAATGTTTATCTAGTTTTTAGATGATACAGCAAACCACACACACACACACACATATACTGGGTGATGCTATTCGTATATCAAGGTGTCCACCCCTCTCACATAGAAGGGGATCCACTTCAAATAAAATATAATTTTATCAGAAGTGGGTCTTCTCCATGTGAGGAGGGTGAACACCGATATTGACACCGTATTATGTACAATTAGCATATTCCATATATATTCATGTACTTGGTAAATTATTTACATATTAAAAATGTAAATAAATTATGTTGAAAAGAAGCACTGTGAAGAGTTTCCGATGAAGAAACATGGAATTTACAATTGCTAATTTTCTATCAAACGACACAAGTTGTAGAAGATTTGAAGGGACAATGTTCGCTTAGTACTCTGTTTCCCGAATTGAATTTCAATTTCCATCTTCGTGGGGATAACTCCAACTGTTCTCTACAAAACTATCATTAATTTCTACTTTTTATGCATTCATTGTCATATAGAATATGCATTGAAGCATCAACGTTGAAAAATATTCAACATGCATATGCTTCATCATTCAGAGAAGTACCATGTGAACAAAACTATGTTTTCCAATTTGGCAAGAATGGTTCATTCATTATATTGTAACTTGATACACTCTTGCAAAATATTAATGGCATGGAAATAAGTTAATTAAAATTCATTAGAATTTTTTCCATTGCTTTTGCTTGAATCTTGAACTTCCAGTCAACAATGTGAATGTATTGGTTTACCTCGTACCATTTGCATGACCAGCATGATAACAGCATTATTTGATTTTGTGAAGAAAGAATACAATGACAGAAGTTCTGGAAGAAAAGAGACAATAAACTACTCTGGCTTTTCCTCCATTTTTTCTTGTTTCATATGGGAATGAACTTGCAAATGGAAAGATAATATTCTTGGCTTCCTTTTCTTCTTTTCACTCATAGCTAAATGTGATTTAAAGGAGCAGGAAGAGCAGTGTCTCTTTCCTGAAATAATTTCAAACATCTTGTTTGGCAGACAGTGCTAACAAGGAGGAATACATACACTGGGATTCAGTACAGAGATGACCCAACAATTTTTGCGTGGGAATTGATTAATGAACCCCGCTGTATAACTGATGCTTCTGGTGACACACTCCAAGTAAGTCACAAGCTTACTATCCCTTTACAGCTCAAGTATATGTATGAAGGAACATATAAGATTTCAAGGATTGTATTTTGAGCTTCTTTTAATTTTATATTTTTCTTAACCTCTTGGACACCAAATACACGACATTTTGGACTCAAAACTGTGTTTAAGACAATAATAAACTGATGAACTTTGACTTTTGGGTTTTGCTCTAAAAACCATCATTATTAAGACAGTCGATGCCATGGCTACAAGTATGAGAATGGTGAATACATATTTTGTGGTGTCGCTTCTTTGGTCGGTAAAATTACAGCCAGTGGTGTTTTATCAATCCGAACCCAATTTTTCAACATTTAACTCTTTTCCAAGGTTACATTTTCCAGATGGCTGTCTCCACAAATTATAGAGGTCTTCTTCCGGTATCCTTTCAATGGAGGAACACTCTTTAAAAAAATCCTTTTATGCATAATGTTCAGGCACTCTTAATTTTCGAATAAAAATCCAGATCATTTTGGTTTTGACACCTGTTCTATTAGCACGGCTTTGCTTGAATGTAGAAGGAGACTCTTCAAGTGATGTGATATGTATTTGGTACAATTGCAGGACTGGATAGAAGAGATGTCTACTTTCATTAAATTAATTGACAATAAACATCTGCTGACTGTGGGCCTTGAAGGATTCTATGGTCCTAAAAATCCCAAAAGATCAACTGTGAATCCAGAGTTCTGGGCAGCTGATCTTGGATCGGATTTCCTTCACAACTCAAAGATCTCAACTGTTGATTTTGCATCAGTTCATATATACCCTGATCAATGGTGAGCTTATTTAATTATCTAATCATATTTTCTGTTACTGCATAATCTGTTCTGTCTGTTCAACTTTGTTATCTATCAAGCTTATAAATTTATCATAATATTCCCCAAGACCAGAGATTTAATTTTTGAAGACAAACAAACAAAATAGAACATGAAAGAAGGAACACATTAAAGAATGGTGCAATGTGATGATGCAAAAGTAAAGTTATGATTTATTACTTGTCGGAAATTAATTTCTTTTACTACCATTTTACTTCTGGAAATTTCTGCAAGAAGGAGAAGCAAGTTATTTGTCTCATTGATTTCAATGCCAAGTGGCTCTGATTCTTCTCTTACCCTGATGAATTGTAAAATAGCTTGTGAACTCTGCATGTCGGCTAAGCTTACAAAATTACTTATAAGTTTATTCTTTAGTGAATAAACAAATTTTTTTTTTTTTTATGGTCAAAGCTGAACACAAGTTAATTACTTTGGAAGTTTTCCCAACCTTGCTGTTGCAAAAACATAGCAACATGTGCAAACATGCTCTGTTGCATTCTTCTACTTTTGGGGGAATAATCCAGCTAAGTGTAGGTCTCATAATCAAGATTTTGGATACCAACTAAAATTTGTCTCCAAGTGGATGCTTTCGCACATTGAAGATGGCGACAAAGAACTGAAAAAGCCTGTAATGTTCACTGAATTTGGATTGTCAACCAAGAACAAAGGATTTGACCCCTCTCAACGAGACAAATTCTATGAAGTTATTCTCGAAATAATATACAAGTCAGCAAAACGAAAGAAATCTGGTGCTGGAACTCTAGTCTGGCAGTTCTGGGTTGAAGGGATGGAAGAGTTCAATGATGATTTTGGTATTGTTCCATGGAAGAGACCATCAACATATAAACTGTTTACAGAACAGTCTTGTCGGCTGGCAAGAATTCAAGGAGTTCTTCCTTCACAAAAAGAACATTTAAAGAAATTGTGCAGCCAAAGGTGGTAAAGATATAAAATTTTCAGATCCAATTAATTATATCAGTAAGAGAAATCTGGTTGCATTTTTTTGTTGGTTCTGATTGTTTTGGTCAGTTCATTGAACTTGTCCCACTTATATTTATATAGGTTTATAGTGTCATCATATTTACGGCATCTGCTGATTTTATTTATTATTATTATTTTTTTTTTGCTGCACAATTATTTAGAAGCTGTTTTTAAATGCATCTAAATGGATCTTTTCTTAAAAATTGAAAGGTAAAAGTAATTTTCCATAAAAAGTAACTTGGGAATTTATCAGGTTTCCGTAAAGTAACTTCGAACCTGTTGGGGAAATAAACGTCGATTATCGTTGTTGAAATATAATTGTTGCGAGAGTGGAATGTCAAAAAACAGAATGTCATTATTCCAGACAATCAAATTTGTGGGCTTTGACAAATATTCCCACAAATTATAAATCTCTTTCCATTTGCAGATATTGTCCTCAACACCATTATCCAACCAAGAAAATGTCTGATAATCTACAATGAATTCCAAAGGGTTCTTTGATCTTCATCTATTTCTCTCATCTTTTCATCCCTTGAATTTATCTTCAAGTCTTTCAATTCCTCCTGTTAATTTCTATGGCAATGCCACCACTGAAACATTCGTACTCTTTCAACAGATACAAACTTCTCCATCACTTTATCCTTAATCAATCCCCACTAGACCCCGACTCATCCTCCCTCCCCCTTCCGTTCTCTCTCTCTCTCTCTCTCTCTCTCTCTCTCTCTCTCTCTCTCTCTCTGTTTGTGTGTCTCCATGGGCATGATTTTGTCTTCCTTTTCGTGCCCTCAACTGGCATCAATGGCACGAATTCTGCTCCGCACCTTGGCCTGCTCACTTTCACGAAGGATGGTTACTCAAAAAACCATGTCTTTGTAGTCAGGTTTGATGTGTTCAAGAACCAAGAGTTCAATAATCTTAATGAGTCATGTTGGCATCGATGTGAATTCTCTCACTTCTGGAGAAATGCACGAGGCTTGATACTGGATTTCAAATGATAGACAATGAGTATGATGACCGGATTGGAAACTGTGGGCAGTATTTTCGTCATTCTATGTGCAGTCGCAATTTTTGCGTTCTTGGTAAGGAGAAGCAAAAATGGGAAGGGAAAAGAAATGGAGAATGGGGATTGGAATACTGTCCTCATCGCATCGATTTTCAAGAAATTTATTCTGCAACAAAAGGTTTCGCAGAGGAAAATGCAGTCAGCTGGAGGGAACAAAAGATTGGATCAATGCAAACATAGGAATTAAAGAAGTGAGGGTAGAAACCAAGAAATCAATTATAAATAAACGGAAAATCTTTGAATAAACTAATTCATGGAATTTAATTCATCATATAAACCAGAGTGAATCACTTGTACATTATACAATTAAGAAAAAAACTATAATACTGCCTGCTGCTATATCAAAATGGTAGATGATATCAGATTACAGATCTTTCACGGATTGTTGGTCGCAACAATGCCAATTATCTCCTATCAAAATCAATCTTGCGTCTTCATTATTTGGGATACAAGACCAACAGCAACAGTTCTTCCTGATGATCTAAGTGACACCCGTCCCAGGGCTCTAGATTTAGCATACTCCTCGACACAAACCGATCCTTGCAGAACCACCTAAGGTTAGAAAAATGCACAGTTAAGTCGGCTACTAGAGAACAATAGTGCAGATCTATCAGGAAGGAAAACACAGAAAACAGAGAAAAACCACAAAAGTCATGTACCACGAACCTCAACTACTGCGTTCTGCTTTGCTAATATACACCTTGGGGACTTTTTCGTAACCTTCCCAGTCTTTGGATCAAGCAGCGACAATATCTTCACAACTCTTGCAGCCTCCTTTGCATGGTGTACGTGTAATTCCAACTGCAAATGTTCATGGAGATTATTGCAAGCAAGCTCTTACATAACACAATAACCACAGAATAAATGAAAATTTTTTTTATGAAGAGCGAAACCTGAGAACCAATTAGAATTGGAACTGTAACATCCAGCACCAGGATCTTCAGTTCCAACTGGTTTGCCACGTGAACCAGGAAATCAGGGTGACATAAGACACCACCAGCTGTCACGCGATTGCCCTCTATACCCTGTAAATTGACTGTGACATTGTCACCAGCTCTTGCAATGCTACAAACTTGAGAATCCCGTTCCATAGAACGCACTGTTGCTACTACTCTCGAAGGCATAACCAGAACCTGTAACCAACATTTACAAACAAGTGTTACAAGTGGCAGTTATTACACTCTCCATGAAGTCAAACCAGCTCTGAAGATTCCATAATACCTATGTAGGTTAAACCCTAGGAAACTTTCAACATTTCCACAACAAAGAACACATTCGAAGTGACTAGGAAAAAAATTCTCCAATAGGTAAGAAAATTATTTTCAAGCCTGAAAGTTTAGTAAAATCTATACATGAAATGCACATGCACAAGTAAGCGAAATTCAGTTTAGCCATCTCCTTGAAGAGAAAACAGCAAATATTACATACATAAAATGCTTTTGCCACGAAAAATATCAGTTGATAAACAATTACAATCTCGCAAGTTGCATTTTACAGCATCAATATAGAATTTATAATGACCTCAACCTCTACAGATGGCGACTTCAAAAGTCTCATCTCAGCCATGTTATTTAGTAGCTCTCCAACACTGTGTCTATACAACCAAAAGGAGAATTTTGAACGAAATTAGCCTGTAAAGGGCAGGCTTGAGAACTTATGAATTTGAGACGGACTGAACTTGTATGTAAGATTGGATCTTTTACAGGAATACTCTCATTTAGCGCTTGAAGTCAAGAAGACTGAAAAAAAGGTTTAAAGTTTGCAACTGTCTCCATCTTTCCAATTGTGTAGAATGCAGAAATTGGAAACAAAAAGAACCAACGTATAACCTAACAAGAGAACAAAAGTGATGCACGAACGGAAATTCTATATAGGACTAGTGCTACAAATCCCTTCCCTAAACAATCCACCAAAACAGCAAAATTTTCTTCAAGGATTATCATATTGGTACACACAGTTCAAGATCTTCACAGCTGACTCATCTAATTGTACTCCATCTAGCTCATAATGAATACCTCTGTAAGGAACTTCAGAATTATCAAGGCACAAATCAAAAAAGAATGTTTTTTTAAGAAATGGACTGTAAAGTGCCCACATAAATAATTTTTTGATTAAGTGTACTGAAGCATATCGGGGGAGTTGGCGGTGGGAATTGAGTGTTAAACTATTTTATAATTCAAAAGCTTATATTGGAAGAAAATGGATATCAATTCCAAACAACCCCAAATAAAAAGGCAGCATTTATTTTGGAATGGAGGGAGTGATGACTTTGAAACTAGACAGGAAGATTCTTAAAAACTAAAGGGCAACATAATCTGTACCTTAGAACCAGTTCGAATAGCTCCAGTCTCCAATTTCCCACATGCAGACACCTGACCTTGTGATTGTGATTTGATAATGTCACATATTGGCATTAGTAAAGGCTTTGAATAATCTCTTGCAGGAAGTTGAAGAGAATCTATTGCATCCAATAAACAAGGTCCATGAAACCTGCAATTCAATAATTTCAGAAGTTCTCAAGATAGCATCACATGTAGGTATAGAAATCAAGATTCAAGAAACATTTTGAGGAAGTTGTGCGTTTGTGTATTTGGTGTACATTTTCAGGACAATATAATGTAGAATCAAGCATTTAAAAACAATTGCCGAGAGATACAAGCATCCTTTTTCTTTCACCAGCAGGCAGAGATGATGGAAATCTTTAGTCATCAAGGATTGACAAATATTGGTTTTCAATTCATGCATTAGATTGGTAGATCAATAATATCACCAATTTGTAAGGATGCAGAAAAGAAAATCATATTCTTTTTTTTCCTTGCATATGGTTACCATAAAGCATATGTAGAAATTAAAATTTGTTGTACCATTTGCATGGCAACACGAGCTATGCCCAAAATGCTATCAGAGATACAAACAGCCGACTTACTTCCCTTAACAATACACATGGCCATCAAGAGCAACCCATGATAAAAAAACACAGCAAAAATCTGGTAGAATTGGTACATATCTAAAATGCATATACATTATGACATAAAAGAAAACATCAAATGAGCAAAACCAAAAAGATTGTAATGCAAAAAAATAAATAAAAATAAAAGGCAGATAGAGGAATCTAACCAGGTGAACAATCGTGTATCAGAAGGAGTTGCCACCAAATTTTGGTTTTCCATCGCACTCACTGGAATCCATAATACAGAAGAGTCTTTAAAACCACAAGAGCGAAGAAATGTTCCAAGTTTCTGCTTAATCATATCAAACCGTTCTTGGGAGTATTCTACTACATCCATTTTGTTAACTACAACTATAATTTGATCCACTCCAAAGCTTCTTATGAGCTGTGCATGTTCTCTTGTTTGCCCTCCGATTGCATCCAGCCCTGCTTCAAATGAACCAACTGAAGCATCTACCACCAGAATGGCAGCATCTGCTTGTGTTGCTCCAGATATCATGTTTGGAACAAAATCTCTATGGCCAGGGGAGTCCAGCAGAACAACATGATATTTCTTAGAATTGAAAAAAGCAACAGCCACAGTCATGGTTATACCCCTTTCCCTTTCTTCAGCACTTTCATCCAATGCCCAGGCATAAGCGAAGGATCCCTTCCCCTGGTCAAAGAATAAAGCACACATTAAGGACATTAAACCTAGATGCATGAAAAACACAAAATAAGGATGCTACATTACCTGTTGTTTAGCTTCCTTTTCATACTTGTGCATCTCTTTTTGGGATATCCGTCCCAAAAGATGAAGCAACCTTCCTGAAAGTGTTGATTTTCCAGAATCAACATGACCAACCTAAGTATTTAAAAGAACATAATCATTAGAAAAAACCAGTCATATTTGGACAGATTATCAAGGACATTCTGACAGAAAAGGTAACTTACAATCGCAAGATTTAGTTGACTCAATCTGCCTTCTGCTTGATCTGGCATCATCCACGACTCGGGTTTATATTGTAAATTTGACTTGTCCTTATCCTCATTAGCATTTTCAGTTCTAGATTTTGAAGACAAAGAAACACTACTCATGCTACTGTTAAGTATTTCTGGTTTGCTCCCACTGTCAGAAGCAGTCTCTCTCCCCTTCACAACACTACGCCCATCTCTCCCCAAGGATGCTGATGAAGAATTGGGCCCTTCGGCACCCAATTCCGATTCAATAAGAATATTCTTCTCTCTTTCACTTGAAGGCATATCTAATGACGATAATCTTTTGAAATTGGCTACAAGCAGAAAGTAGTGGCCATCAGAAAGGTGTCAAATACTGTCTAAAAAAGAAAAAGATATCATACATCTGTATCAAAAATTTAAATCACAAGCTGACCATAGTAGTTTATTAAGCGCTGTGCAAAAGAGAATTTTGCTCAATGTGGACTTGAAGAACTAACAACAACAATTACAAACTTGAATTTAGGGTTGGCTTCTTGAATTTTTTTCCACTTCATTTGGCCCATTGCCAGGACTACTAAAAAATTCAATGAAACCAGTTATGTGCAATCATTTTAGTCTACCTCTAACTTTACGTTTTCTAACACAGTCTGAATATTGCATTGCTCTTACAGATGGGAGATTCGTTAGGGACACCTAACAATAAATTTGCAATTCCCTTAATTTATCTTCAAACGCAATAGCCCGCTACTTAACTTATTGGTGATTATTTTCACTTATTATTTATATACTCTAGTTTAGTCACATACATCTTGTAATCATAATTTATACTGTGTTTAATTTTACGGATATTGTCTTTTAACAACCAAAAGTCAGTAACATAGCATACACTGGGTCCCTTACCATTAGAACTTCTGCATTTAACTTTAGGAATCTTATGGTTATATATAATCCCTATACTACCATTCCATTTCATTGAACATAAGATAATCCTATGCACTGCATCCAATTCACGATCCAATAATTGAACCCAAAGTACCTAAAACAATCACTCTTTAGGACGACAATTCTCTATAGTAATTTTACTATCATCTTTATTTCTATTATGACTAAAAGGACAATCCATGTATTCCATTTTACTTCTACTCAATCTAATACTTTCAGATTCCAAGGTGCTCTTGCAAAATTCTAACTTACGATTTATCCCATCCTAGTTTCAATAACTAAAAAAATGTCAACAACATATCCATCAACTAGTGCCTATAATCATCTTTTTACTAAGCAGAGTGAAATATTGTAGGGAATCATGTTGCAACAAAGGACAATATATTAGGTTTTTGAGTGCCCAAAATCATCCTTCAGACAATAATCATAGAGTTCATGCTCTTCTTATACCTAAATTAAGTGCAAAAAATCCTGAAAACAAACTCGAAACATAAAAAGATACTTTTGGAATCCAACTTTGAGGAATGCAGTCTACTGGATACAAAATCATCAAGAGATGGGGAATCAAACTCGAAACGGGTTACCATCAACCATATGTATAATGTCAGAAAAAAGAAGATGTTACATCCCCAGTAAAAGTTGTAAAGACTTCCTCAAATAAAATTGGACTAAGAATTTTTTTGAAGTATGAGAAAAATATATTAATCTATTGACTGGTTTAGAACTTTTATACGTTCTTCTACAGATTGACAACCCGTATTAGATCATATGCCAACCAACTTTTATGTTCTGATGATTTTGAAAGCTAAAGGTCCTATAGAATTCTTGAAAATTCCCATGGATATTTCCTAGTTTATGGAAGTTAAAACCATCTTCTTTCAGGATAACATCATTTTGTGCTTCAAAGGGTACAGACTTTGCGGGTCCCATGTGGAAATGATGCAAAAAGAGACTTGGCCATCACTGATGCTCCAAAGTTTTTGCAGCTGCAACCTACTACATGGTACCTACTCTATGATATAAGAAATGGAAACAGACATGGATGCTATTGAAGAGAATGGTATTTGACCTACCACGAAGGTGATATTTCGTAAGATTCAAAAAAGAAGACTAATTAAATGAAGAAAATAGGCATGGAAAATGTAAATATTCATAAAAAAAGAGGGGAAAACTCCATAAAGAAAAGCATTTCTATCTATGACATGTAACTTAAAACGGTGAGAAAATCATCCAAAAACATGAAGCAACAGATATGGAAAGACTTCGTTACCTGCAGTCCTGTTACTGTTGCCACTAAATTTGACCAAAGGATTGCGTAAAACCCCACATATGTCACATTCAGACATACTATCTTCATTATCATATGTACAAATAGGGCAACGCCATACCCCAGCCTTGATGACTTCTTGTTTTGGTGCAATAACTGTTGCAACAAAGTCTTGATCAAGCAACATGGTACTCAACATTGAACAACATGTTTAGAAAACTCGTAACACTTGGGTTCAGAAAATTTGTTAATCACACTACTGGTTGTCCATTATATGTTTAGTTTGATAAGTTAAAATGAAATCTCCTATCATCCTACTCTACTAACTTTACTTGCTAAAAATACACATTAAACCTGAGGCAATGAAATGAACAACCACAAAGCTGCTAATATTAGGTCGGTCTCTTACATCAAAACGGAAATCAAATTTTCCGTTCAGTAAACGCTTGCTGCAAATATTACATTAAGTAAAACTGCAGAAGGAATATCGCTTGCTTTTAGAACCAATTCCTTTCATTATTCGCCCTTTAGACATCACAGCACAAAAACACAGTTTTCAGAAGAATACACTAATTACTTCTCAAATGGCCTTCTGTATAATCAAATCCCTCACCAACCCAGCTGCATCTCAAGAAAAATGTCAGAGAGAGTTAAACCATCCTCATATCTGTATCACCTTCATTCTGAACAGGTTAGAACTTCAGTTTTATTGCCAACGACCACTAAAGGGATAATTACAAAATTACATCGCACACCATCATCTTCAGCAGAAAACTTTCTTTGAAACTAAAAAAAGAATGCATTGATAACCAGCAATTGCAGCTTAAGTATACCATTACTTACGACCTACCTCACGTGATTCATAGTTTAGTTTCAAATATTTGTTAAACAGTTAAAGTGATTGGTTGGGAGTGTTTAAATCATAATTTAGGGAGCAGGTCCCACATTATGCGTGGATAAAAAGTAGATAGTAGTTGTGAGCCCTACAAAATGTTTGGATAAAAGTATGTTCGATCAAAAGTGATAATAATTTAAACACCTCCCAAACAGGCACAGAATAATAGCCCCATGAAGGGACCCATGGTCCTTCCCACTATCAGAATTAGATATTCAGAGTTAGTTCATAATATTGCCACTATAAGAATTGGATATTCAAAGATAGTCATATTACTTATATAGAAGATCATTATTCTCAAGATAGGAAACCAACTCCCAGCAACTATAGTAAAAATTGAGTAAAAGCGAGAAGTTCTCCTGTGCAACTATTGCATTGGTGAAGTTTTATTTTTTGTAAGACAGGTTTAATTCCTTAAATAAAAACAGGAATTCAATCTTAAATATACATCTTAATGAAAAAGCCTCTTTCAAGTCCAAAATTATATTAAAAACAATCCAATATTGACACTAGAATCCACCAAAGTTATGCATGAAACTATAAGTCATGAAAGAATTTCCATTGAAAACCCCTCGAAACAAGAATCACAACAAATGTTTCATCAACTCATACATGTACACAGAGAGAGAGAGAGAGAGAGAGAGAGAGAGTCACCTCTTTCTTCATTTTTATATTCGTACTCATCTCCATTGAGATAATCATCATCCTCATAGACATCATAGTCATCATCATAATCAATCCCATAATTCACTTTCCGAGGCATGGTGCTACTTTCTATTATATATAAACAAAAGTGTAATCAAATATTTGTTGTCTAGCCTTCAAATTATTAAAACTGAACTATCACCCTGCTAAATAACAAATACATAATTTGAAGTTATTTCCAACACCAGAAAATGACATATAAAAATGACACTTCTTAATTATGATACATCAATTCATTTGTTGTCATCCACATTCCAAAATATAGAGCTTCTTTTTTTATCGTTAACTTCATTCCAGACAAGTTATTCAAACTTGAAAGATAAAGAACTACTTATTAACTTCCCAGACATAACCAATTGTGCATGATTATATTTATGGAGAGTACATAAAGTATCATGGTCATTAAACTTGGAAGTTAAAAGGAAAATAAAACATAACATTAAAACTGAGTGTCATGGAGGTGGCAATACCCTTTGTCCATGAGGCTGCAAAAAGATATACAAATCAAGGTAAATGAATTTGGGGGCTCGGGCTTCAAAAAACAGCGACACTTACTCAGAACTATTACCTAATTACAATATACTGACTGCGAACTACGCCAAAAAAAATTGTGTATTCCCATCTCTCTGTTTTAAGAAAAGGGTCTAATAAATAAGCCTTACATATGGTCTAAACTATTTAAATCTGAGATATACATAGAATTTCTTGAAATTATTTTCATCAAGACAGGATAAAACAAAATGGGATTATACAATTTCTCACTTCCCTAAGGGCGTTCTTGCGTAGAGCATAGATTCCAGCAAAATAAATAAAGGGAAACACCAACGCAAAGCTTTTCTCCAGTTTATTAGAAACAGAATAACCGGGGCAATGAGTTTAAAAACAAATTCATGGTAGAAATTTCAAAATTTATAAATGATTTCCTCTCATGTTTTATGATATTAGTATATCTGGAACTTGATAAATGGTTCTATTTAAATCAGAAAGACACAGGAAGTTGTAGTTATCCATTTTCCCTGTCAACATAAAAGACCAGGATCTAGCAAATGAACTGGCCATTGATTTAAATTTTGATGTCCGTAATTTCATGAGACTAGCCATTTGAATCCCTACTGATTGGAATCCTGAAGACGACTAGGAGAGGTATAATCACAGCCTTTCCACAATTCTATCCAGGAGTGGGAGTTTATAAAAATGCTGACTGGGGAACAAGATAGAAATACTAGCTATTGTGGTTTTGGTTCACCAATTAAATCGAAAGGCACTCAAGACACAAGGCTTCCTCATTGATAGAATAATAATTTGCCTTTCGGAATAGACCTTAACAGAGAAAAAATACATCCAGGGGAAATCCCTGCCATAGAAAATACCCAGAAACTACATTATATCTCCAAACCAGTCTGCACATTTCTTTCCACAATGAATTTACTCAATGCCCAGAAAAGGCAATTGCAAATATCCAAGTTCAGGCCTCATGGGACTCAGTTCAAAAATTTTCAAACATTTCATGTAGACTGCAAAACAAGATTCAATTTTTTCCACCTCTCATGCCAATAATTAGAACTTTCAAAATGAAAAGATTCCCGAGAGTACTCTTTTCCAGAAGTATAATGCGAAACAGTTTATAGGTATGAATAACAAAAGAGCCAACTTTTGCACTTATTAACTAATTTAGCATACAGAATCCAAAATTTAAACAAATCATACCCACTGAATACTGTAATCTTTGTTGCCCCCACCAATTCAACTAAACGCCTCCTTCCCTTTTTGTTGCTTTGCAGCTGCAGTGTGCAAGGAAAATAAGTAAGATTTTCATCGACCATATTTTTATATCTCCATAGGAAACCGAGGAATTAAAACGTCGAAATCCAAATAGCGAAAGGTTTAAATAAAGTTACAAAACTGCAACCAACAAAAATAGTTGAGAGATTTTATCCGAGCGACACTGGGATACAGGGGAACTCTCCCCCAATTTGGTGCTCGTGAAAATTACTCGTGGTCATTAAACTTCTACAGAAATCTTGTTTTGGTCACCAAACTTTTTTTCTATCCCAAACTAGTCAGTCAACTTTGTTTTCTATTGCACGTTAGTCACTTCGTCCATTTGTTAGCCTCTACTTAATAGCCATTATTTGGAAAGAAAAAAAAAATAAATAAATAGTTTTGAATTGTGGGATTGAAAATGAATATGTAGAGTAAAGAGTTTTAAAATAGTAATTGTCAGTTAAACAAGGGCTAAATTTAATGATTCCATCGTACGTGTTACTTGTTAATTAAATTTTAATGGTTGGTTGACCCGTATTTAATATAGGACAAACATTCGGATTTGTGACCACGCTTGAAGATTGAATCGATTTAGATTGCACGACTTTGTGAAAAGAGTTTTATTTTCCATAAAATTTTCATTATATATTTATTTGATGCTTTTCATTTTATTAATTTTATGCTATTGCAATTTGCATTATTAATTTTGCATATGTAACATATAGATGTTGTTGCAAGTGTGATGATTAATTATTCATTTTATTTCACATCATTAAATATGTGTGTTATGTGGAGGTTAGCACATGTTTTACTAGTTTGCTCTCATTTTGTTTAGAGAATCAGTTAGAGCAACTCCAATAAACTATTTAAATACAAAATACTCTATATTTTAGTAAGTCAATGTTTAAATATGAATTCCAAGAGACTCTATTTTAACTTTTTAAAGTAAAGAGTGTATTTGACTTCCAAATTTAAAGAGTCAAACTCACTTTCTATTCTTATGTACAATGATTGCATTTAATACATTACAAATTTCAATACTCTACAATTTAAATTTTTCAAATTACATTTGAAGTGATTGGTCATTAATATATAAAAAAAATTATATTTAAATAAAATATGTGGCAAAATTATTAAATATTCATTGGAAAAAATAAAGTAAAGAATCAAAATAGAGAGCTTGTTGGAATGTATAAAAAAATTACTTTTTAAATTTAAAGACGTTCTCTATTATACATAATATACTCTTTATAAATAGAGAGTCTTTTGAAATGCTCTTAATAGTGAGACAGGGAATCTCTTGTATTTTTTTATAAGAATTTTTAAATAATTCATCCATCTCATTAATGATTTATAAGAAGTAGAGATGGCAATAGGGTGAGCTCAAAGCAAGGCAGCATAGATGACAAATTATGACCTTGTTGCTACCTTGTTTCGAAATGTTGACCTTGTTAACGAATTCTGATGACAAAAGATTTTGAAACTCTAGTTATATCTAGTGCAATGACCGTAGGTTCATGGCGTTTCATGAGGGCAGTGGTGATAGTTTTGGAGTTTTAGCCTCTGTTTGATGGGTCTTAATATCAATTTTTTAGTAAGTTTTGATAAAAATTGACAAAATGTGTGATTAAAAGGTTGTAAAACTTATGAAATATATAATTAAAATTAATTGTTGATTTTAATTTTGATTAAAATTTGAATTTTAAAATCCATACCAAATGGGGACTTGAATTGAGTGGTGTCAGGGGAGGCCTAACGTGACGCATCCATGATTGGCCCGTGATTTAGCCCATAACTCAACTGGGCCATCCTTAGGCCCATAGCTGGAAAAAAGGGACCAATCCAATTTGTTGACGTCAGAAATTGTGAAAATTAATTTTTAAGCCAACTTTAAGAAAAATGACCACTCATATCCATTCCGAAAGATCAGTTTGTACACCCTATGCTTTTTTTGTAATCCCTTGAAGGGGGTCATTTCTCCCTTTTTATAAGGGGCTCAATTGAAATTGTGTCATTTCAATCAAATTAGTCACTTGTACCGAGCTCAAACCACATGTCGTCGACCTTTCCCTTGATTGGTTAATGAGGCCGATATTCATCACATAATGATGGACTGCAAAGGATGGGGGACCCAAAGTGGTTGATTGGCAGGTATAGGTGAAGCTAACGTCATCTTCTGCAAGGGCATATTGAAGGGGTGATGTGACGGGATATAAGGAATCTGCAATCATTATGTCTTTTGGGGCTACGACAATAATATGCCGAGCTGAGCTTTGTGACCGAGCTCAAACATATATGAGGTGGGCCCTGCGAGCAATAGATGTGAGACCAGAGGGCAGTACTGCTTTAAAAGGGGGACTGACCTCTAAACTTGCTAATTCCTTTCCTCTAAAAATGTAATTATTGTAGTGCCATGTGTCACTTTTCCATTGGTGTGAGCTGTATAGCATTATTAATAGCAGCTTTATGGGGAAGCTACGTTGTTTTGGGCCTGCAAAATTTGGGCCACAGGTTTTCCCTCCATTTTATTGAGTGAACGGCCCAGCTTAAGTCCCTTGGTTTTCCTTCTTTTTAAATTCCATTTGACCCTTCATTTTGCCACTTTCTTTGTGCAATTTACTCTGTACAAGGCAGTGACAATTCTCACCCCTTTTTTCTTTCGTGTGCGCTTTCCATAATCCCAGTGAGGTCATCTATTTCTCAGTTCCCAGGTATTCCTCTTCCTTTCCTCTTCTCTCTATTCTATTCATTCTTTCTATTCGTTGTTTTCATGAGCTTCAACGAGTCAATGGTACATTCCTGGGGTAACTAGTAGAAATAATTGGTCTCTCTCACCTCTAGCTTGTCATCTAGTTATTGAGAAATCTTCACTCCCATCCCTATTTTAGCCATTAACCCTGTAGATTTAGTGCTACCTGTGAATATGGGTCGGATCCAGAGGGTTCTGGAGGAAAAAAAGTCGGGTCTCGTGAGGGAAATGAGGGGAATGACTCAGGTGAGTGGCGGTGAGTTCCTATAGGTCAGTAGTAACAGGGATTTATTGGCAAGCTGGAGGGCTAAGTACGATATTCCAAACTAAGTAATAATAATAATCCCCGAACCTTCTAATCGGGCTGATGCTCCTCCAATGGGATGTATCGCCTTGAATTCAGCTATTTTGCATGCTGGGCTTAGATTGCCAATTTCTAGAGTGATCTATAAATTCCTCTCTTTCGGGGGCATAGCTCTCACCAGTCATGCCCCAATGGATGGTGAACCCTAATTGCTACGCTCATTTTCTGGGATAAATTAGGGAATTCTGAATTTACTATAGAGCAATTTAATTTCCTATTTACATTTAAAGAGGACGGGAAAAATTCCGGTTGGTGGTATATTAATATTAGGCTGAGGACAGGTGGTTCCTTAGTGTTGGATACCCCTTCCTCAATTAAAAAATGGAAGATGAGTTCTTTTACGTGCCGTGGGAGTGGCAGTTCCATCCTACCAAAGTGGATAGGGATGATGTCGTCCCCACACTCTACCACTCTCTGTGTAAGTGGCTATCGCTTGGTTGTTTAGTTGTGGCAAATGTTGGAGTGGTCTTGATTGCTTATGTCTTGTTTTACAGATTACAAGAAGACGGCCTTAAAAAAAAAACTCAGAGGCGAGCTAAGGAGATCAGGGCTTTGCCAAAAAAATAGAGATCCTGCAAGTACTTGATCTCAAATTCTAACGTCTTTTAGGCCGGTCTCATCCAAGCGAGGGTTTCAGGATTGTCCATGGTTGCAACATACACTTCGACCCTTGCAAGCTCAGGTAGAGGTTAAGTTAATTTAATGAGTGAACTTGGTTTGCTATTAAAGAAATACTGAGGGTTGTGTTTGCGTTTCTTTAGCTCAACATCCAGAAATGCTGGAGTACAAAGCAACTAAAGCAGCAGCTACAGCTAAGAAAAAGGAAGCACCAGTTCGATCGCAGAATCGTTCTGAAGAAATTGAGGAAGAGGTTTCGCTCCTTAAGACGAATCATTCCGTGACGCTAGCTACAACTCTGCCGCTGATAACTATTAGGGGTGAACGCGGTTCGGTTTGGACAATATTTTCAACTCAAACTATTTTACGTGGTTTGAAATTTTTTCAAACCAAACCAAACCATTTTATTTTTCGAACCAAACAAAACCAAACCATAATTTGGTGTTTGGTTCAATTTTAATCCACGGTTTATCTTTCGACATTATAGTAATATATTTAACATAAGTTAAATATAAATTTAAACGAAAACTAATAATGTTAAATGTTAAATTACATTCATATTTACCATGAAATTCATAAATAAATTATTTTCAAAGTTTGTTGCTAAAAGATGTTAATAGAATAAATACATCTTTTTTCATTTTTATTTACCTTTTCTTGTTTGACATTCATATTGTCATATAACGGTTGATAAAGGTAAAGTTATATTTTGTTACTATAGTTTGGTTAAAACTCCTTTTGTTTTGCTAGTGAGATATTAAATAAGGATTAAACAGAATATGTTTAGATATACAAAAATTGATAAAGTTTCATCTTATTGGAAATTGACGAATTTCATCCTCTAACTACTTTATGAAAGTAGAAGATAGTAGTAATAGTTAGGGAACTTTAACATTTTTCACATAATCAACACGTTGTATCTATCGTTCTTTCCAAATCACAAACAGTTTCATTAATTATCTAGGGACACAAACAATCATTTTATATCAAAACCACAACTCACAAGTGTATAATAAATTCTAAATAAATAAAGATAAAAGAAAGAATAATGAAAAAATCACTTAAATAAAAATCTAAGACTTATCGAAAGAAAGATGGGGTTCAAGTAGAGATTAGTAGACTAACAGGCAAAAGCGACTAGCGATTCGTTCATCAGTGGCAGACAAGTGTCAAATGTTAAGGAAATGAGAGTTTATGTTAGGTTTTCTGAAACTTTGGACATGATTTGTTGACGTAGTTTTATTGAATTATGATTTGGATTGTTGAAAATATATATATATATATTTTTTGCATTTCATATGATTTTGGAATAATTTTAGTTTAGTTTAGATATCGGATGTTGACATGTGTTGTGAACTTATTAAATCATAGGCCAATAATGATGAACCTAATTTACTTTCTATGATTATTTCAATGTCCTGTTATAATTTGTA